AAAAGTTTTGGTAGTTGTCATGCTGGCTTTGTGGATTTGCCACCCAGCATCCCTTTCTGTGCAGAACTGTAAATACATCAAAGACCTTGACTCTGTGTGTGGTTTGGCCTCTTGGAACACCGGGTGAAAGAAAACTATTTTTTGGGACAATTAAACTTGTGCTCCAGACTCCTCAGCAGCTTTGCTGCCCTCCTTAGGACAAACTCCGGCCTCTCAATGTCGTTCTTGTAGTGAGGGGCTCAAAACTGGACACAGGGTTCGAGGTGTGACCTCACGAGTGTACAGAGCCTGGCCACATTTTATCTGACAGAAGCCAGGATGCCATCGGCCTTCTTGCTCACCTGGGCACACGCTGGCTCATGTTCAACCGCTGTCAACCAGCACCTCCAGGTTCTTTTCCACCTGGCCGCTCTCCAGCCACCCTGTCCCAAAACCGTGGTGCTGTTGAGACCCAAATGCGGGACCCCGATGTTCCGGCCAAGGACCAAAGGCGAGGAGGGGAAGGGCCACGGGATTTGGGGAAAGAACCAGCGCAGTTCTGGCCGCCGTGGAGATCGCCGTCCGCCGCAGGGGAGTCGGAACCCTGGGGACGGCGCCGGTTCTCAGCCGGCGCTCGTTCGCCGCGGCCTTCCGCCGTGCCGCCGTTACCCTGGCAACGGCGCCGCCAGCGCAGCGCGGAGCCCAGGCCCGGCCGCAGGATGGTGAGGGGCGGCGGGGCGGTGAGGGATCGCGGGATGGTGAGGGTTCACCGGATGGTGAGGGGCAGTGGGGCGGTGAGGGATCGCGGGATGGTGAGGGGCGGCGGGGCGGTGAGGGATCGCGGGATGGTGAGGGGCAGTGGGGCGGGGGACGCACCGCCGAGGGAGGGCCCGCTCTGACCCGGCTCCTCTTTGCTGTCTGCCCAGATGCTCTCGCGGGCCAAGCCGGCCGTGGGGGGTACCCCGCCGCCGGGAGACAAGCGGAGGAAGAAAGGGAAGGAGGTGCCACAGTTGGAAGAACTCTTGGCCCAGAGGGACTTCACCGGCGCGATCGCCTTGCTGGAGGTGACGGGCTCCCCTCGGGAGAGCTGCCAGCCCTGTGCCCTCAGGGCTGCCGGGCGAGAGCGCCCCTTCGCCTGCCTTGTGACCCTCTCACCCCCCTGGGGCCCTGCAGTGGCATCTGTTGCTCCCCTGCTTCACAGAGCAGGGTTTCACCTGTGCGGGTTGCCTAATGCTGCCCTCTGAAATGTGAAAGCAACTCCACCCCAGTAGCAGCCACAGCTGTCAAACCATCCGCGATATATGATAGCCTAGTATTGCTTTGTTTATCTATGGGGCTTTAGAAACTGTGGCAGCTGACAAAAGTCTTACATTCTTTATTCTCTACAAAGTTTAAACAGCACGTGGGTGAGGAGGAGGAGGATGGCAACCTTTGGATCGGATACTCTGCGTTTCATTTGGGTGACTACAAGAGAGCACTGGAGGTAAGGTGGGGAAATCCTGCTTCCTGAGGTTGGAAATTGGATGTTGTGATAAAGCAATGACAACAGGAGGAAGATGATCTGTAATAGGGAACATCCCTGCTAGCCAGTTAAGGTACAAATGTACAGTAAGAAGGCAGATGCTATGGGAAGCAATTTGGATTAGGAAAAGAAAAAATGGTACTTTGCCTATGAAAATAGAACTTTTTGAGTGTTATGTACTGACTTGTTTGATACTAAGTTCTTAGTATCTAAGTAGCTTAATTTGTTCTGTTGAGTGTCACAGTTCATGTCCTAAATCCATTGTTCCCTTTTTGCAGCTAGGTTTCCACAGTTTCATTTTTCAGTTTTAATAATGTTTCTGTCTTCATTGTGCAGCTTATCTGTGATAGGTATGAAAAAATTATTTCTTTAGAGGTTGATGCCCCTGACCATTTAATGTACTTTATTGCTTTTCTTTGCATTTTCTTGTATTAAGTAATTCAGTTAAATGAGGCAGTCTTTTTTCCTGAAATCTTCTAGTCACTAAAATAAATGTTAACTGTTCAAATATGTACATTTTAATTTTTGCTGTTGTGGCCCTTCACTGTGAAGTGTAACTGAAGTATAGCTGGTTTTGCAGTCTTTGAACTTGCTTTCACCAGAATTAATATTAAAAACAGATATTAATTTAAAGTATTAACAAAATATAATAAAAATAAAAGAAATAGATTATAGAACAATGATGGTATTTTCTCTCTTAGATAAATGGTCATATGCACAAGATGCATACATGAAAACTCTAAAGCTTCTAAGTAAGAAAGGCACAAAGCACTCTGCCCTTTAAAAACTTGAAGAAAAAAGTATCTGTTGGAGATAGTAGAAATGCTCAGTGAATCAAATCGACAGTATGCACAGTATAGAATATAGAATAGTAGTTCAAGACATTATGGTAAATTAATATTTATGTTTAGACTTGTGGAATTTAAATATTATGACAACAACATGCAATGTGCATCTAGGGAGTGAAAGTTTTAAAAAAAAGAAAAGTAACTTTCAATTTCTTTGAAATAGGAAATAATTTGAAAGTAATTTTGAAATAAATTCTGCTTTTTGAAATACTCAGTAGATGTTTTTATAGCCAGAGTAGTTTCCTTCAACGAAAAGGCAACTGCTTTTTTTTTTTTTTTCGTTTTTATAATTGTTTTTTTGCATGTAGCGTTTGATTCACCACTAGGTGATGCTCTTGATTCAGGCTTTTGAAAACTGCCACATAGTCGTCTTTTCCCCTTTTTTCTACCCAAGGGGCAATAAAAGGTTTGTATGAGCGATCTGTAGTTTGATTGTTTGTATATGTTTTAAGTGAGAAATCACAGAGCTTGTCTTTCCAGATTTAATACATTTTTTTGCACAGTGATAAGTCCTGATAGCTTTGTCATTTTGTGGTGATGTGGGAAATGAGCCTGTGCATCTCAACCTAGTTTCTTTGGGGACAGAACACTCTAGTTTTAATTTCTACACCTGTAAGTCTCATTGCACCATGGAGACTGAACTGCCTTTCAGTTATCAACTTCCATGTTGAAGTGTAAAATGCTGTTACCGCATCTGCTATGTTACAGAGGTGGTGTTGCTGTATTCTCAAGGAGAAATTCCTTGATAATCTATACCCTTGAGATCTTGGAGCAGTCTTTGGGGAGTGGCAGAAGCACTATAAATAAATACTATGGGTCAAAGATTCTGCAGAATTCTCCAGAATGACATTACACACAATCTAAATGATTCACACTCCTGTGTGTTCCTGCAAGTGACAACACAGAGTCTGTGTCACTATATTCACAGTTCATGGTTTGCGTTCCATGTATCTGATGAGAGTCTTCAGAAATCATACTGTTCAATGCTTTTATTAATGATGATACTTTGATAGTGAGCCAGGCATGTTGGTTGCATAACAACTTTTGGAGAAGCTTGGGAATTACAGTGAGGTGGCCATCATGCACCACCGGGAGAAATGGGGAAGAAGTGAAAAACACGCAGGCATCTGGCTCCAGGAATATCTTCAGAGAGAATGACAGCAAAATCACTGTCACATTCATGTGAAAGAATTCCCATTCTCTTATCACAGGCACACCAACAACAGTTAGGTATCCTCTAGGCAGAGCACTAACCTCAGCCTCACTAGGGTCACACTTTCCCCTTCTTGACAGCAAATGCCTTTCTCAAAGGTTATGCCACTGACCCTTGTCTGGTGGGATCATCCCTATTGCTATATTCCAGTTTACAAATGGTACTGAAATGGGCTTGACTCTTCCAGCAGTCATGGTGCAGCTCTTCTGTGGGGACTGACTAGCTTTCTTCATGGACAAACTTATTTTTACTGAGTAGCTCTTGTCTTCCTGGCACCATATGGTAACCAGAGCTTCCCTGCTATATGGTGATGTTGAATTAGTTTTCTGGAATCTTCCACATCTAGTGTCCATAATGAGGAAAAACCCATCTGTCTTTCTGCAGCAGCTGCCACTTGTTCATGACTCTAATGTTAAATCTTCTGAAAAATTTCCCAGTGTCACCCAAGTACCAGAACTAGAGCATCAATCAGGCCAATTATTCTGTTTCTAAGATGCCTGGTCTTCTAAACGGAGTCAGCAGCGGCCTTAAGAAAGTGAGGGTTTGTTATTATTTTATATATATATATTTATATATACGTATATTTTTAAAAATTACAAGGCAAATTGGCACCAGCAAGTGCACCTCTTGGTTGGATTCAAGAACAAGTTTCACACTTTCAGTCTGCACCCTCTGCTTCTAGACACATGGGATGCTGGCATGGTGCAGCTGCTGGACATGGTAATGCCATTTTTGCTCCTCAAATGCACACATGAGAGCAAAGAATGATCCCTGGGCCAGAGCCTTCAATGCATTGTTTCTGTCAAAATCCTACAACCTATATACAGCCAGCGACAGTCTCTCCGATCTTCTACCTCCCTCCTGGCAGAAAAGTAGGAGCCATTCCACCACTTCACTGAACAGGACCTCCTGCCAGCTTGGTTCTGGGTAATTTTAGTCAAATGGTAAATCATGGAAGGACCAGAGCTGTACTAGGGTAATTGTTCATCCATGAGCAGTAGCTGGTCATGCTTGAGTAATTCTGTGGAAAGTGTGAGAATACACTCCAGTTCCTGATAGCTGAAGATAGAAAGTAAAAAGTGGATTTTTTAGCTCTGGGAGTTCTCTAGGAGTCTCTATCATGACTGTAGCCTGGTTACGACAACTGTCTCAATCCAGACGAGTAATAAGGACATTGAGTTGGCCCTCCTCATTGTCAGTCCATAGTTGTAGGCAATCAACCTGGCAGCCTGCATTTGAGGAAAACTGCATGTGTCTAGTGATAGAGGAATGAGGAGGAGGAGAGTAAAATAGCAGGAAGTTGTTAATGCTGCTGGATGGCAAACGTATGCCACAGGCTGACTCTTAGGACAGGTTTGAGAGTATTTAGTTTGTTTAGGTTGGTTTATTTAGAAAGGAGGGAGGAAAGTTCTTTTGAAGTAGAGAGACTGATGACTTTGAGAGACTGATGTTGAATGGCTTTCAGTGAAGAAAGGGGCAACAGCACACAGTCCAGACACATGGCCCAGAACTACAGGAAAAGGAGCACTAATAGTCCTAATTTTTATTTACTATTTTCATAGATTCACATTAATACTACTAGAACACTCTTTATATATTGCTTGCTTTGAATGGCCAAGCCAGAATATGACTTGTATTTATGCACTTTGTCGTTCTAATTAATCTGCCTGAAGCCCTAGCCGAAGGAGACCTTTGGGTGCATTTAATCTGAATGAATTTTGAAAGATTCCAGATGGTCCCAATAAACAGCAGTGGCCTGTGTCTCAGAGCTCCATGACAGACCTACATCAAGATTAAACTGGCCTCAGTAGGAAAGGTTGGCCTCAATGTAAATGTTTTATTTTTAAAAATAGTAATAATTATTATTATGATATTTATCATATTTATATTTAGTTATTGTAAATATTGTTGAACAGCTGAAGTCTGAAGTCCCTGAAGTACTAGCAAAAATGAGCTGGCTTTTAAGGGTGCTCCTTACGGTATCTTCCCTGTTTGGCAGTGCAGTTTATTTTCACTTGGCAACAAAAAAATAATTATTTATGCTTGCAAACTCTAAATTTTATTGTTGTCAGCATGTTTGTGTTCTTGGGATTTGTTGTTCCTTGGGTGTGGCTTATTTTATCTTGTGCTGTATATATATGTATATATATATGTGTGTGTGTATATAGATATATATATATATATATACATATATGTCCTTTTCCCCAGAGGTAAGAAGTCTTCCACCCACAGTGGCTCAATCTGGTGAACTCTCCATAGGCAGAGGTCACTTCCAGTTCATGTTTTGAGAATGAGTACAGAGTCACCAGGAGCTTGTTTTCCTTGAGGGAATGAGTGGCTTGCAGTGATCTGGAGTACATGGATGACATTCCTTCAGCAGGTCTTGTGAGAACCTCGTGTGACCCTGCCTGCTTTGCCTTATGGTGCCATCTCCATGGCTGGATGAAGAGCAGGAGCACCAGTAGCAGGCACTTCCATTGGGATGGTTCTTCCAAGGAATTTATCAGAGCTGTGACACAGGAAAAAAAATGGCATTGAGATACCTCTCTGCCTCTGTTTTTACTACGTGTTGTTACTATGAGAAAAGATGTTTATCTTCAGGAATATAATTGTCCGGTTTGGCTGCAGTTTGGTTTTTTTTTTTTTGTTTAAAAATCTAGATTGAAAGATTGATTTGTTGAGTTTTTGCTGTTTCATAAATAACAAGAAATGAAGCAGTCCGTGGCAGAATTAAAGGATATGTAATGAATGTGGATGTGTAAGAAATATCAGAATATACAATCTAGTGCCCTTCTATAGCTGTTGACTGTAAATCTTAAAATGGGAAAAGTTAAGAACAGGTATATTTACTACAAATTGCTAATCTTTATCTGTAAGGAAATCTTGAATTTGCCTAATACTGACATATGGGCTTGATTTTTAACGCAGTGGTCTCCAAACAATTTTGCTGTACCATTATTAGTAAAACATTTTTTAAGTACACATCCCCAATGTATGTACATACATTTATACATTTATAAATTATATACATGTACCACTGTGCTAACATGTAATTATAAAACATACACAAAAATAGGAACTAAAAAAAGATGTGATGAGATTAAATGCTATTTAAAAATATTTATTTTAGTTATTAATAATACCAAAAAATCTCTTGATGCACTTGATGTTATTATATTGCATAACCTCAGACTTAACACACACTTCCACAAGTTTAATATACACTAAGACACTACCTACAGGTTTACAAAAACACCTTTAACACTTGCTCCAGTAAGTATTCACAGAGATTTCCCTGGTGTTCATGGCTCTCAGGCTTTGACTGGAGGAGAACTTAGGAATGCAAGAGAAGTTGGTTATATTGATGCCTTTATAACTTACATATGTTGGGGTTTATATATACAAATAATGTTTTATAATATTTTATAATAATATATTTACAATATAAATATGTTTTATATATGTTTAACTTCAATATTGACATCATACATGATGATTTATGGCACTGCTTGTCCCTGTGGTCTGTTATATTGCTGTACACAAAAAAGACTTAGGGACATAGCTTAAAACATAATAGTTTTGTTGTAAGGACTGCAGTGAACTTCAAAAAAATTGATTGATCTCAGTAATTTAATGAAACATTTTAAAATCATGGAAGAAAGAATGATATTTAATACAAATATGTGCCATTATGCATTTTTTAAAAGTCAGCCTTCTCTTCTGTTACAGGAATATGAGGCCTTAACCAAGCAACCAACTTGCAGTCCAGATGTTTGGGTGAACCTTGCCTGTACATATTTTTTTCTGGGGATGTACACACAAGCAGAACAAGCAGCTTTGAAAGGTGAGATGTATGGCTCTGTTGGAAAAGACTGCTTATTGATTTGAACACTTAAAGTCATTTCCAGACAAAGTATGCAATAAAGGATACTTTTGAGGAAAGTTTTTTGGGTTTGGGGTTTTGTTTATTGGTTAGTTAATTTTAACTTATATTTAACAGGAGAATTATGATGCAGTTTCCTTCCTAAAAATACCTTAGGCATGTGGAGCAGCTGGAACTAAAAGAAGCATCTGGAAAATAATTTCTCTTACTAATTTCTAAATGCAGAGCCCAGCATGCGCCAACCAGCAACAAAAGGTTACGTTTCTTTTGACTGATTCTGTGTCTCTGAGCTAGTGCAGATGAAACAAATTAGGCCAGTGAAATTATAAAAAAAATAAGCATCTGAGAGAATTCAGCATTCTCCCTGATGAAGACAAGAACTCTGTTTAGGTAGTTTGAGTGACTTAGTAGGTGGTCTCATTGCCTTGTAAGGCAGATGTTAGGTATCTGATTCTTCAAGGCATGGAGTTCAGTAGTCACATGATTACAGTTCTACTTTACTCTTAACATGCATGGGATCATTTAAAGAGGAGGAATGTAAATTAGATTCCAGGGCAATTTTTGCTGCCTAAAAATGTTTCTGTAGTATAATTTTGTTGCCCATCACTTTTAATGTATTTTAGTGATTTATATTGTTTTCTATAACTGTAGTATCTCAGTACCTTTTAAGTAGAATTAATAATAGCATTATCTCACTCAACTTCTGACTCTTGCCTTCTTAGAATAAAACTATTATTGAAGGATAGGTTTTCTCCTTTCTTTCGTTAGTCTTCTTGTCTTGGGCTGAAAATAGTGTAGGAAGAAAATAATTGTGTACTTTCTTCTACTGAGAAGGAGTGCCTTCCAAAAGGACAGCTTTGTAGCATTTTTAAAAAATAATTAGTTCTCATATCCCTTTAAAATCCTCAGAAAGATCATGCTGAACTTGAATCCAACAACTCGAAATGTTTTTTTATTTTCAATTGTAAAAAAATCTCATGCAGAGCTTTGTGATTTGTATTGTTCAAGAGGTGTGTAAATTTCTAATATTCACAAATAATTTAATCTTTAATGTACCACAAATTTGAGCTTTGGAGAGTGCAACCTAGGACTTCAAGTGAATCTAAAAATAAATGGGCAATAGAGCTTTGAGGTGTCAGTGTGACCTAAAGCATGGAGAAAACAAGCAGCTGCCTCCTGTACCAGTTGGAGCCATTGTCATCAGCTTCACATCTTGTGAGTTACAGTAATCCATTCTAGAGATGACATATACACAGATGGGCATGCACATTTATTAACTGTGAGCTGGAGATGAGGGAAGGTTAAAGTTTGCCATGTCCCTTCAGATTAGTTAATAGTAGTATGGTGAGTGGCAGAATAAGGGGTGCAGTCAGGTTACTTGGATACTGGAAGCAAGGGTAGGAATATCAAGAAAGCAAGAGTGAGAGGGAGCATAGCTGAAGGAGGGAACAGAAAATAACTGAGTGGTCACATTAGTTCAGTTCCTGATCAGTTCATGATTTGATGTAGTTGTTTAAGAAGGAGAGCATGCCAGTTTTTATAATGAGATGCTAAACCTTTCTTTTGAGTACTGTAATCTTGGTGATTTCTGGCTACTTAAGCTTGGTGGGGAAGCAGTCACAGCTGAGGATTTGAGACACTTGTCCTTTCCCCACTGAAATCTTCCAAGTGTGGTGTAATCTTTCTTATATTGAGCTTAAACCTTTCTATTTTTAAGTCAGATCCTCTTTTAAGTTTTTTTTTAACAATTTAGGATTGCATCAGTGGTGGCTGTTTGCAATATAGTATTGACAGCTGAGGCCACATCATGTTGTGCTCTCTTCCATGGTTTTGCAAAGATCTTGAAGAAGCAAAATACTTCACTTGAACAGGCAAAGTCTTTAGAAGAACACCATTTATCTAATACTGCCTTGAATACTGCTGAAAAAATTATAGGTATTGTTAATATTAGGCTTCTTACCATTGCTATTTTGGGATTATTTTGCCCAAATTCTTGTATAGTGCATACTGTTTATTGCTGCAGTTGTGCTAAACCCCTGAAAGTAGCATACTGCTAGAACAAATTAAGGAGAACTAATTTAGTTTCAGCTGTAATTCTAAATTTCTACAGTGACAGAATCCCTGTGTGAAAGGGAACATATATACCAGCTAGCTTTCTGGAATAGATTTTCCACACAAACATGTAAATATCTTGAAATCAAATAAAAATCTTTCTTGCCATATACTGTTGCTGTTGCTTAAGGAAATAGTTGTTAATTTTCATTCCATCAATGAGGAAAAATTTGTAGGATACTCAAAATTTAGGAAACTATCTTTAAAAGCCATGAGGTAATTAATGTATTCATACAAATACATAGGCCATAATCTCTTGTGGAGCAAGTTTTTATCTTTATTTTATAACAGATGTGAGTTGATCTCTTAGCTTGTTATTTAATTCAAACTTCATGGAACAGAGGGGATATGGTCATTAAGGACAGCCAGCACGGCTTTACTGAGGGCAAGTCCTGCCTGACCAACTTAGTGGCTTTCTATGACGGAGTGACTCCATCAGTAGGCAAGGAAAGGGCTATGGATGTCATCTATCTGGACTTCTGTAAAGCATTTGATACAGTTCCCCAAAACATTCTTCTCTCTAAATAGTATAGATACAGATTTGATGGGTAGACTGTTAGATGGAGTAGGAATTGGTCAGACAGTCAGATCCAGAGGGTAGTGATCAATGGCTGAGTCCCAATGGGCATCAGTGAGCAGTGGTGTTCCTCATGGGTCCCCATTAGGACCAATGTTATCTAATATCTTCATTAATGACACAGACAAAGAGATCAAGTGCACCCTCAGCAAGTTTGCAGATGACACTAAGCTGAGTGGTGGGGCTCACACTCTTGAAGGGTGAGAGGCCATCCAGAGGGATCTGGCCAGGCTTGAGAGGTGGATCTGTGAGAACCTCAAGAAGTTCAACACAACCAAGTGCAGGGTGCTGCACCTGGGTTGGGGCAACCCCAGGTATCAACACCAGCTGGGGATGCACAGGTTGAAAGCAGCCGTGCCGAGAAGGACTTGGGAATGCAGGTGGACAGGAGACTGGACACAACCCAGCAATGTGTGCTCAGCCCAGAACATCAATTGTATCCTGGGCTGCATCCAAAGCAGTATGGGCAGCAGGGCCAGGGAGAGAATTCTGCCCCTCTGCTCTGCTCTGGTGAGACCCCCACCTGCAGTGCTGCATCCAGCTCTAGGGTCCCCAGCACAGGAAGGTCATGGACCTGCTGGAGCAAGTCCAGAGGAGGACATCCAAAATGATGAGAGTGATGGAGCACCTTTCCTAAAAGGAAAGGCAAAGAGAATTGGATTTTTCTGCTTGGAGAACAGAAGGCTTCAGGGAGACCTCATTGAGGCTTTCAAGTACCTAGACAAGGCTTACAAGAGAGCTGAACAGGGACCATTAACACAGACATGTAGTGATATGACAAGGAGGAATGGTTTTTAATTGAAAGAGAGTTGGTTGGTTTAGATTAGATACAAGGGAGAAATTCTTTTCTGTGAGAATGGTGAGGGGTTGCCCAGAGAAGTTCTATCCCTGGAAGTGTTCAAAGCAAGGTTGAACAGGGCCTTAAGCAACCTGTCTAATGGAAAGTGTTCATGGCTATGGCAGGGTGGTTGGAATTAGCTATCTTTAAGGTTCCTTCTAATCTAAGGCATTCTGTGAGTTGATGATTCTCTCAGGAAAGAGTAAGTCTGAATATCAAAAGTCATATAAAAATAATTACTGCAAATGTAAGAAGTAGAGAAGAAGGCAATAAAGAAAAATCCCTCCTTGAAGGTTTTTTATTACAATTCTATTTTACCTCCTCTAGGCTTTCCTCCAAATTCCTTTCAGATATTTCTGACTTCTCCTTTTCCCCTGTTGTCCACTCCCATTGCAGTTACTAATGTTCCTGGTTCTGAGATGAAGGCTGAGTTACTTCCAAGTCAGCTACTGTTGTTTTGTAGTCATCCCACAGTGAAGCTGTCAAGTGATGCTTTGCTGACTCCTTTTGCGTCTGTATTCTCACACATTGGCTGAGCGTATGTTTTCTGTGCTATGGGTAGCCAATCTTGTCTTGAGAGAATGAGGCTTAATCTATTGATCTTGATTTAGTATATAAGAATAACAAGAATTTTTTTTTTTCATTATGAAAACTAACACTCTCATGTTGCATTCACAGTTCCTGTGCCTTGCAAAGGCCAAAGAACAAAAACTCAGCCTGGCACACTTGGACTGTGATCCTGGCAACTGATCCCAGTGTTTAGAAGCCTGCATAGTGCTCTCAGAAGCTGTTGGCTTGCATTAAGAAAGAAACTAAGAACTAAAGCATAAGAACTAAAATTGTTCTTTTAAACCACAAAATGTGCACATAAGTGGGGCTGCAGTTAAAGACTGTTATGAAAAACAGCCTTTTTAGGATAAATGGAATTTTAGAATTAAATTTAAGATTCGTGCACAGACAGGGTTGTATTGCTGAACCTTCATTAAAGTTGGGGGTTTTTTTTTCATCCCTTCCAATTTTTGATGGGAAAAGCTTTGTAATTACTTTGCTTCTTCACATCTCTGCATGTGTCAGATCTGAATGTGGTTTAACTGAACAGAGAACTCATTTTACAGCCTATATTGAAAGGAGCAATATTGTACAAAAGCAGATCAGAGATGGGTTAGTGGTAACAATGACATTTTCCAAACTGGTTTTGCTTATTCGTGAAATAATATTTTTCAGGTGTGAAATAGTTGTCACCAGTGAAAATGTTCATTTACAAGCAGGCACAGAACAGTTATTGGGTTTTCCTTTTCTTAGGATTGCATGTTCACCTACATGATTTAATCTGCCTTGTTGCTTGTACTTTTTTGGTGCATTTTAGCTGAGGTTTTGAACCAGCCTTTTCATATATGGAATTTTCAAAGCACACAAGTGAAAATATCACATGTTTAAACTCTAAAAGCTACTAACCTTATTTTCTTGTTTTGTTTTTTTAAGTATAGTGGAAGCTACAGCCAAGGAGTAATTAATTTGATGATCTTTAATTTACTGTGCTTAGTCTGAGTGAAATTAAATGTGTGTGTATTGCAAGTAACTGTGCATAGCTGAACTGTCATTTGAGTTATGTGGGAACAGGAAAATTTCAGTGAATATCCTCTGTAAATTTCATTCCAGAAAATTCTAAACAGTTGAGCTGTTCAAATGGTGTAAGTGTAAACCTTACTGCTGTACTATGTTGGTTTTTTTAAACATTTTTCCCATTCTCTTTCATTTCCCTTTCACTGATGAAACTTTGGTTTTGAGGCACAGAGGGCTTCATTCAGCTACTGTGTTCAGATGAGCAGAGTGTTATTTCTCAGGGATAAGGAGAATAAGGTTTCCTCTGGTCATATTTTATGCTGTCAGGATGGAGCCTTCTAAGCCCTGCTCCATTCCTACCAGCTCCTACTAGGTGTGTTTAAGGTGTGTTCTATGCCTGTTGATGCGTGAAGGACTCCACAGAATATGAATTATGTACTAGATCAGATTTGTTAATGCTGGATGCATTACCAGCAGTGCCTTGCACTCTTGTGAGAGGGCACAAATGCCAGATTGTCCATGACTCTATTTCATCATATTTTTACTGCCTGAGATAGCAATATGGAACCCACCAAGAGTCTGAGCTGCCATTTCTAGTGAGTTTGACATTTTGTTTAATATCTAGTAAAGACACCTTCAACAATGTCTTCATTCTTACTGTAGTTGCTTATTATATTTTAACAACTACTTCAGTAGGTGTCTGTCAGTGTCAGCACATAAAAATATACAGAACACTTTTAAGACCTGTGACAGCTGTGACAGTAGCGCCTGGAAAAACAGCACTGATCATGACAAAAATTCTGGCAAAGGAATATCAGCATTTTCTAAGTAGAAAGAGATATATCCTGTCAGCTACTTCAGTGCTTGAGTACAAGGCCTGTACTAGACCAGGGGCAGGGTCCAGTTTGTTGCTGTGCAGCATTGTCATTGTGTACGTTAAGATCCTAAGAATCCCAAGTTTGCTTAGAACTGATTTTAAAAAAAAAAATTTAAAAAAGTAGTCAGTCTTGAAAAAGTGCTTCCTTGTAGCATTAATAGCAATTCAGTATGCAATTCATAGCAACAGAGAATAATAAAAGAACAAACTAATGTCCCCTAAATGTCCCTTAAAAATCATTATCTCTGATGAGGCAGTTGTATCACTTCTGCTTCAGTGATTGACAACATCTTTATCCAATAGTCATGACCCCATTCTTTCTGAAAACTGGCCTTGCTCACATTTCCTTGTCTTCCTCAAAGAATGCATTTGGCACCAAGAGAAAAGAAAATGCTGATATTGAATGTTTCCATATTTCTGCTTACTATATTGACAGGGCTATATTTGTGGAGGGTTTTAAGCAACTTATTTTAAAGAATATCAGATAGCTAGTATCATATACTATCTTATGAAGCTGGACACTTTTCCACCCTCCATACACATCATCAAAACTCAGATTTCATCTTTCGCCTGCTTTTAGGTGTTAAATAATGTGGGCTAACCTTCCAGCTTTTGCCAAGAAGTAAATAATAATTTTGATGTCAGATCAGATGCCAGATTTGCAAGGGCAGCCTGCACTTGCTGGTTGACCAGTGCAACAAAAATTCCTTGGTTTAGATTCTTGACAGTATTGCTTGCAAGTCGGAATTTTCACAGTGAAAATAATGCTAAAACACACACCAAAGGGAAAAAAAAAAAAGAAGACTTGCTAAAAAAAAAAGAGAACATTGGTGTCTTTACCCATAGTACTGTGATTATACAATATGTTATTTTCAGTATAAATCCCACAATCTGTCCTGCTTGTATTTTTGGAGTCTTTGATCACCAAATGTTTTGAATTGTGAAGGATGGTTGTGGTTCAAGTTTCTCACAAAAGCACACGTAGGGTCCATGTGCAGCCCTTCTAAACTTTGATATTAAAACCTATCAGTTAATGCTGGAGAACGTGTAGAGTGAAGAGCATGCACTTAATTTAAGGTACTCTCACTTTCTAGCTCAGTGGATGAAATATCCATACTATCATGTCAGTTATACTACTATGGCTGCCTATCCAATATTTATTGTAGAACAGAAACTTTCTGTGCTGTAATAAATAGCCTAATTCTCACCTATATCCTAGACTGAAAACCATTTTGCTCTTAACAACTTGATGCTCTGGTAGAAGTATCTTACAAGATGTTGTGGTCTTGAGAGTGCTTTCATACTACCTTTGTATTTTGGACTTCTATTCTAGTGGTTCCTTAAAGATGCAATGCACTGTCCTCATTTTTCTAGGAACATGGTTAAATAACAGAGCTTGCTAAGGAAAAAAGGGAAGAAATAGTTGCTGTATTCATTAGAAGTAGGTGGGCAGCCTTGTGCTGCCAATCTGATCAGAATGGCCTGGGTTTTGGCACTATCCACTGTGTCACAAAGTTTACTTACTATGTGAAGAAAGAGTAAGAAACCTGGAAAACTCTTCCTGAATTGCTTAAAAAAGAAAAAAATTCATCTTCAGGGAGTAGTGGGGAAGAGGGATTGTGGTTTGAGCCCTCTTTTATGGTTTAGGATGTCAGAAGAATTACAGCCTTGTGTTACAGGCTATTGCTGTGCTAACTCTGCACTTTTGTGGCCTTATAAACACAGTAAGTAATTCTGCTTTTTGTAAAGACTCCATGTACACCCCTTCTGTGGAACATGGTTTACCAGCTGGTTGGTCTGAGCAAGAATGAGAGTGCTCATTAGGCTAGGAAAAGTACAGGAAACAAGGGAAGACTTTTTGGAAGATTGCTTGCTAAAGAAAGGAATAGCTGTTTGATGAGGACATTTGTCACTCTTGGTGAAGCAAAAGGCTCTAGTGACTTAAAACTCTGCAGTTTACAATCTGTTTCATATAGAGTGAATTCAATGGAATTCCTAATCCTGCTAGGGCAAGAAATTTCATTAACTTTACTGGCTCTAGTAAGAAGCTATCTGCCTTAAATCTCTTGCCATATCTTAGTTTGAATCTTATCTGCTCTGGCCATAGAATTCTTTCATGTGCCTTTCATTCCTACGGACAGAAGAAATATTAGAAGTATAATGTAATGTGCATGCCTAATAAAATGGTAGCAGCACTGGCTTTTTCAGTACACTAGAAGTTGTTGAGAGTCCTGGAATTATAAATCAAAATTTACTTCAAATGTGACACATCATAGAAGGAGCCTTGAGTTTATATGTTGCTGCTTTTTATTTTGAAAAGATGCTATGTTTATGTGTCACAAAGAAACCCCAGAGAATTATCGTGCAATCACTGCAGGGAAATGATAGTTCAATTCATAGAAGTTTTAAGGCTCATGGAAGGTAGAGACAAATGAAAAATTATTTTCAACAGGGATTTAAAAAGAAATAGTCAGGGAATGAAGATAGGAATGAGGAAGACCTCTAAACGACTCTAAAATTGGTAGAACCTTCCCCAAGGCATGACCTGCAAAGGACTCTCAGTGAAGAGCTTCACTTGGGCTAGTTAATGAAAGAATAGGGGTGCATTCATATCTGTTGAGAAAGTTAAAAATATAAAGAGATACCCTGTGAGTAGTTCATGACAATAACACTTAGTGAATTTCCCTTTCAGCACCTAAGAGTGGTCTCCAAAACCGTTTACTCTTTCACCTGGCACATAAGGTATGATATATTTTCTTCACTCCTGCTTTGTTTGTTTTCTTTTCAATTTGGTAATGTGTAATTTATGCTGGCAACCCGGTAGAATAATTAAAATGCCTGTGGTGGTAGAAGAACAAACATTTTTCATAACCACCCTACTGTATTAAAATGTGGAGGAGAAAGCAAGTATGAAAATATGATCTCAGAATAGATGCTCTCAACATGTTTCTAAGGAAAGTATTACCAATACACTTCACATAAGTCATACAATAGGAATGTAATGGTATTTTTGATGATGAGGAGCATGAAACCTTAATAGAATCAGAAATGTAGAAGCCACTATTATACTTTTTTTTCCAAATGGATCAAGTTTTCTTAACTTGCAGCTCTCTTACACACAGCAATTTGACCAAAATGATGTATATGCTATTACTGATCCTTTTAAGTATCCAGGAAATCATATTGTTAATAGCATGAAATTTAATTTAATTTCAACAACAATTAGGTACTTATTTCACTTACCACACATAGTTGTCTTCCCTTAAATTAGGTTTTAAACTTTCCTGTACAGAATACTTGCAAAGTATTCTGCTATTAAAGACACTGACTTAAAAGGAAGTATAATCCTAAATGTTAGCTTTGAGGTGAGATTCTCTTTACTTAAACATCTGTTAGTTTTAAGAGAGAAATCTTAAAGCATTTTTACAGTGGCGTTGGCACTTACAGACGTCTGTGATGAACTAGGAATTATGCAACTTCTCTTTATCTAGTCAGTCTCTGGAAATAAAGGGTTTTATTGAAACTATGAAGCCCATTGCCTTCAGTTCTGTTAAGCAACTTAATCTTGCCTTTTAACTTTTTGATTGGCTCAAAGAGAGAGGAGAAGGATTTGAAGAAAAACTAGCAGATAGGTGGAAAAATAAATATATAATATTAGAATTTGTGTCTAAGAGAAATTCATAATTACTGTTGAATCAGCAAAACCAGCAAAGGGAAGCAGTGATTAAGGGAATATGTGATTTGAGAAGACTGATTAGGTAAATAGCCTCAACTTCACTATTGTAATACAAATATAATGGGTAGTTTTAACTCTGTTTCTTGTTTTTAGCCTTCTGCATGTGTGTTTTATGTGCTATTCAGTTTTAAAAATAAATCAATTACTTAAAGAAACTGGAAATTGGAGGCTAGTGAAAATGAACTTGTTAGTGCTGTAAAGACTTTTAAAAATTACGGCTTGTGTGTTTGCAAGCCTTATGTTTTTCTGCTGTTCATGAGACATTAGATTTGGATCTACAAACTGCAGGATTTTTGCTGGCTTGAATAATTACAATGAAATTTTGTGTTGCGAAATTCTGTTTGCAAAATAATTAATTCAGCTCTTTCCCTCTTATCCATCAAAGCATATGACATGTAATTATATCTAAATCACACCTTAAAGGAAAATGTGTGCTTAGTTTTAGCCTAACATTTGTCCAATTTGAACTCATCTGCCTCTTTAATATTTGTCTTTCTCCACTGGTCAAATTAACTATAACAGCAATTTTCTAGACATTTAATGCTGTTACCAGCAGGGACAAAACTAACCTGGTTAATTAAAAAGCTTTTCTTGGTGAACTCTTCTGAGAATGTGTCCCACTCTTTTTAGTTCAGTGATGAAAAGAAACTGATGAGCTCTCACCAGAACCTTCAAGATGTTACAGAAGATCAGCTTAGCCTGGCTTCTATCCACTACATGCGGTCCCACTACCAAGAAGCTATTGATATCTACAAGCGCATTCTGCTGGATAATCGGTGCGCGTCTCTAAACCCTATTGGAGCATCTATGTTATTGGTGGTATTTGAATTCCAAATAGGTGCTTGGTTTTTGAAAGTAGACATTTTCAACAACTACTATATCCCTTTCCCATCACAGAATGTGCACCAGTTGCAGCTCCTCAATTTTGTTCATTCAAAGTACTATTGAAAACCCAACATTTAAAAAGAAGTCTGCTTTCTCATGTTTTCTTTTTGCAAAATTGTTGGTTAATTCATTCTGGTATCTTTTTTATTCTGTTACTCATTTCTTCTGAAATTATATATAGTTATGTACCTGCTTTGTTTTCTGTCATGTTCTGCAAATTTTTAGTTCAGAATTTAACAAGAAACAAATTGAATTCATAAGTGGCTGGAAGTATTTTTAATAAAATAGAAACTGCTGTCCCAGAATACTGCTATCCCTTGGCACTATCTCCTCTTGAATGTTTCAGAGAAATCCATCATAATGTGTATATCATGTAATGCTTGGGAAAGAGATTTTAACCTCCAGTCCTGCAGAAACAATCACTCAAAGCTAAATGAGTAACCTTCATAACAATTATCCTTTTACTTGGATTTTTCACAAGTGCTTCTCTTTTCTCTGTCTAGTTCTTCTGGCTTGACTGCTTGTAATGACAAGGATTTTTTGAAATAATTGTACTTGGTACAACTTTGTATGTGCATATTAAATGTCTTTGAGTGTATTTCTTAGAAAAACATGTTCTGCCAGGCTAATTATGGTTCTCATGTTTTGCATGTTTCCTTGGTGTGAAGTTGCCACTATTTCCCAGATGTGCAAACCAAAAATTTTCTTGATAATTCTTAAAAGCTGCAGTAACTGCTGTGGAAAAAAATACTGTGAATCTGTCCTAGCTGACAAACTGGAGAAGCCCTAAGCATTTCTCAGAAACCCCAGTTTTGATGTGTTTGTAAAATATGTATAGATGTGAGAGCCTTCTTTTTATTTACTGATTTTAATGCACCGTAATGGGGAAATGTTAAACTATGTATGGGATTTAAAGGTTCTCTTTAATCCTCTTTCCTGCAGGGAATACCTGGCTCTGAATGTATATGTGGCCCTGTGCTATTACAAGCTGGATTACTATGATGTATCACAGGAAGTGCTAGCTGTTTATCTTCAGCAAGTTCCTGACAGCACCATTGCTCTTAACCTTAAGGCTTGCAACCATTTCCGACTTTACAATGGAAAGGCTGCAGAGGTATCTATTGGACAGTCCTTCAACTCACCTTTATTTTAGTTTATGGTTCCATACATATTTATTTTCGTCTTAATCAGTAATGTTGATAATGGCCTTTACCTTGTCACTGTGTCCTTTTAGGAATGTCACCTATTTCAGTTTCCCTGGCATTAACCCATCTGTCCACATATGTGCACAGTAGTCTTACCATTTTCCCAGTATACTTTTGATCTTGTGTTTATATGTATTACCCAATTGCTAAAATAATTAGATAGAAGTGGAAAGGCAAAATCTTCTAGTCATCCAACACCAATGGAGATGTCTTTTGAAGATGCTCAATGGAGACGCTCATTTGGAGTTCCACTTAGGCTTCTGTGCTTTTTTGGTTTCATGTTAAAATTTTGGAATGTATGTAATTCCAGGCAGAGCTCAAGAACTTGACAGACAGTGCCTCATCATCTTTTGAGTTTGGCAAAGAGCTCATTAAGCACAATCTGGTAAGTAATGCATTTCTGGGTTTTAATATAAATTGTACTCACTTGTAGAGCTTTTCATGATGATTCATAAAATGGAATATTTTGGAAAATTGCAGACTTAATTGAGTCTCTGCTGCCATATAAGTCCCATTCCAGGAATCCTACCAATATAGTTAATGTGTCATCAAGTATTTTTTTCTTTGAATTTTTTTCCTGGAATTTTTCCCTGATAGTTTGAGAATGTGTCAAGAAAATAATAATACTGTTGCTCTTAGTCGTGAAGACATATTAAAGTAATGTATGTTGTGTAAGAGTACCTTTGCAAGATATTTTGTGGAGCCCACTCAATAAAGGCACTGCAGAAACAAGTCAGGATGACCCTGAACTCTATTTAGTACCAGAACAATTTGACTGGAATAAAGATAGCTCATGAGAATAGCCTTCATCCGAAAAGTACTTAGGAAGGACTTCTAGGAAAAAAGATGCTTGTAAAACCAAAATACTTTTGTGTTCTGCAGTAAAAGAGTCATTAAGAGTAACTAATGGTTCATTTTCTCTTCAGTGGTATTATTATTTTGCTGAACAACTGGTAACAGTAGATTGCTCATGTTTAATGACAGTTACTTGCTTTGTTATTTTTCAAGAGCAGTCATCACAAGCTAACACTTCTTTCCCCAAGAGTTAAAACTGCTTTCAAATGGGACTTTTGTAAGTTAGCATTGTTTATTTTGTATGTTGGTATTTTTGCCAGTACTTTATTGATTAAGTACCTTAGATCTTATTGGAGGAACTGTCATGTGAAACTGGAGTATAATCTCCTGCTCCTGATTGTTATAGGGTCCTGTGTCATTCTAAATAAATGTGGAGTTGTTTGCCTAATTTTTTTCATATGAAAACGTAATAAGTAGTTTATAGTTTGTATGTGTTCCCTTCACTCAGACTATGTTATTCTTTTAAATCTTAGCTATAAAACATATCACTCTTTTGAGCTGCTAAAAGCTGAAATAAGTTAATCTTTATGTATGGACTAAATACTTATATTCTTCAGAGTAAAGATGGTCACACTGTACAATTCTATAGCTATATTAAAGCAGGGATTAAGCTAATGCCAGAGCCACTGACCTTTTCCTACTGTATATGTAGGAATTTAAGGATTAATTTCCTTGAATTAACTTATCATAGAAAAGATTCTGATATATGATTATCAATATGCTGCTTTTCTCTGCAGGTGGTTTTCCGAGGAGGAGAAGGGGCTTTGCAAGTCCTACCTCCTTTGGTTGATGTTATTCCTGAGGCAAGACTGAATCTTGTGATTTACTATCTCCAGCAAGGTAAATACACCTTCCTCTGGCTCTTTCATAGCTTCAGGGATGAAATTAATTCATCTTATCTCAACTTATTCAATGCTTTCTCTTCTCTGCAGTAAAATGTAATTTATTTCACTTTCTGTTCCTCTATAAAATAGTGAAGTAAAAGTTCCCATGCCTTGCAGAGAAGGGCTTTAATCTGTGCACTCAAAAAAAAGCCTACTTCAGCAGGGTATGGAGGTTCTTGGGTTGCAGGAGATGGCTTTGGGGATGGTGGTGTTTATTTGTTTCCAGTGAGAGGACTTCTCCACTGCCTGAATATGTGAGAATTGTAGGCATATGTCCTGTAAAGGCAAGGACAACCGTTTCTGTAAATACAGCACGAACAAAATATGAACCAAAGTGACTGTGAACAAGATATTTCATTAAAATCTACTTTACAGTTCCTAAAGAATGCAGGTAGGTAGCCAGAATCAGTTGGTAAGGATTTTCTACTTATATGTCTCCTGTGTTTGCCAGCTTCTTTAAATTATATCTGAGTTTTTCGGAGCTATTCCTGTTCTCCTATGGTGTTCTTTTGTTCAACAGGGGGTTGATTGGCTGTGTGATTCAAGGCAGGTCCAGTTAGATGAGATTGCTTAAAGCTTTGTCCAGACAAGCATCCAGTCAGAACTTCCTCTGTTATAGCTTGAGTCCACTGCCTTTCTCTCACTCTGTGGAACCTGTTTCTATCTACTCTGTACCTTCTTATCAGTTAATCATAGGCAGTGATAAGATCTCCCCTGAGATCCTTTTTTCTCTGAAAGCTAAGCAAACTCAGTTCTCTCAGTTTCTCCTCAGCCCTCTTCCTGCCTTAGGAGCCTTCAGTCAGGCTCACTTCAGTGTTTCAGTGTCTGAATTGATTGTAGGATCCCAAACGTAGACACAGTACTCATGTCCGACCTCACAAGTGCCAAATGAAGTGATTCCCTTGCTGTGATGTCTCCATTCATGCTAATAAGATCCAGTGTGCAGTTGGCCTCCTTTGCTGCAAGGCTACACTGTCTGCCAGATTGCCTTTTAGCCAGTCAGCTCGTCACCTGACTTGCTCAGGCATGTTTCAAACCAAGTAAGATGCAAGACTTTCATTTTGCCTCCACTGAACTTTATCAGATTTCTTTCAGCCCATTTTTGCAGCCTACTGAGCTGCTTCTCAATATCTGGGAGCTTTCTTCACAATCTTTTATCATTTGCAGACTTGCTCAGAGTACTCTATGCTATCATCTGGATCATTAGTAAGAATAAGTTAGTGAACAATATTAGTCCCTGGGGCATTTGATTAGTAATGAGCCACCTGTTGGATTTTTTACCACTGGTCACTGTCCTTTGGTAGTCCAGCCAGTTTTCCATCCCCTTATGGTCTTACTTAGCCAGTCCTATCTTTCAAGTTTGTATGAGAGACCCTATCAAAGACATGGCTAAAGTCAAGGTATACAGCATCAACTTTTGTCTCCTTATTCACACAGTCAGTCACACCTTGAATTAGTCAGTACATTTTGGCATTGGTAAATCCATGTCTGCTGTCCTCAGCCACCTTTCATATTGTTGCCATTGTCACTATAGGCAGTATTGGTACTATTACCAATTATCTTGCACAATAATATTGTTAATAACAACATATGTGTCAAATTAAGTTTTACTTACATGGAAACAAACTGCATCTCATGCATCAGTTAAAAATCAATCTTGTTTACTCATATGCTGTTAACCTTGCAGTAATTTTCACTAGCTAGATTCTGTTCTTCACTGTGATATACAAATGACTTGTATACTGACAAAGAAGGTTGGGGGAATTCAGACTAAAACCTCTTTTCTGGTTTGGCTAAGTTTCCATTTTATTTCCATTCTTGCTAGGGTAGCAGCATTGGTTAGGAAAGTGAGAAATTCTTACTTCTATTGACTACAGCTGTCACTCCAAAACTTTAAAAGTCTCTGATAAATGTAGACTTGTGCTGATGATATATGCTCTGAACTGGAATGATTGAAGCATAAACATGTATCCTGTTTTTTCAACTCTTCAGCGTAGAGAATATGAGAAAACAAAGTACAGGAAGATGATTGATTTATTATTTTGACCTTGTGCTGTTGAGAAGACAGCCATCGGATTATGAACAAAGGGGCCAAACCATCTCTGCTAGGAAAACTGTAGTAATAAAGAAGCTATTACTCACTTTGTGTTTGTTATTTGAGTTCTAGAAAACTATCACCATTGTGATAGAAATTCACAGTGATTTATGGTTACCTTTCTCCTCTTGTCTAAATGGTTTATTTCTTAGTCTATGACTATTAAGGAAAGTTGTAGAGGATGAGTGACTTGTTCTAATACAGTGTGCTATGAGTTGTCATGCATTCTAATGTCTGGCATTTCAGATGATGTGCAGGAGGCTTATAACCTGATTAAGGACCTGGAACCTACAGCTCCACAGGTAATTGGAAAATGATGTCATGGCACATAAAGGCAGAGGTTATAAACTGATATGAAATCTGCCACATACAAAACTGGTATCCTGAGGACATCTTGCCCCATTTCCACTCTTAGAACTCTTGTGTTTTCAGCCCTTCATCAACAATAAATTTAATGTGCATGCATAAAGTATTATATATGTGCATATATGAGTACTTTGCCTGTTTATTACTTTACCACCTGGGTTCAACTAAGAGTGCAGTTCTGTTGTGTTGCAGCCTTGATTTTGGGAAATGGACCATTGCTGCATAGGTAAAAGCCCCCTTTCAACTATAGCTGGTTGTCTGCCTGGTGGTGGCTTTCATCCCTCAGATTTGCTAGCTCAGATGGTCATATAGTTTGTCCTGAAGCCATTAAAATTGAAATGAGCTAGATTAGATTAAACAGTTTTAATAAATGGTATTTTCTAATCCCATCGCACTTTGGCTGCCATGAGTGAAAACTGCAGTGTCCCTTGGCTGCTACGGTAATTTTCTTCTGTGTCTGTTCCAGCATGTTTAGTCTGATTTATTCTTCTCTGCTGTTTATCTTCCAAAGGTCACATAGCTGGGCATAAAAGGGACCTTTCATGAATCTGTGTAAAGAATTAGATGGAGAGAGGGAAGGAAGGAGGGCGGAAAAAGGAAAACCTCAAAAACACAGATCTGGTGATTCTGTGCTGAGGAGTGTCTTCTAATGTTGCTTTACACTTCTTGCATTTTTCAGTATGGCAAAACTTAATTGAACAGTTTTCTGCAGCTGTTGTTCCTATTGTAGCATATTGTCCTGATACACTTGGCTAATAATTCTTGATCACATTTTGAAATTAGAATCTGTACTTTTTTTTTGTTCCATTTCTCACTCACACTTTTAAGGAACTCCCGCTAAGACTTGCAAAACTACTTGTAAAACCTCCTTGAGTACTTGCCAAATTTCTTCTTTGTCACAATGCCTGCAGAATAATAATTTGACATTTGTATGACAGTTCGTGTGCTAAAACAATTACTTACTATCCTGGCTAGTACTCTCAGATTGTTTTGTTACATTTTGTCATTGGTTTTTTGGTTTCTTGAAAGATGTCTCTTTTCCTTTTTTTACCTCTGTAACAGGGCTCTCCTAGTTTATCAGGAGTACCTACTAAGACAGGTTTATAAATATAACCCTTGATTATAAGATTTATAAGACACAAGAGTTACATGCTGAGAAAAATTTGTTCAGAGAAGAATTAAGCTATAGTTGTTTCTGATACTAGAGGTTACAGGGTACTCAATTTCTGTTCCTAATTTCACTTGAGTATGGCCACAGAGCACAAACCTATTGACATATTAATTCTGATGATAAAAACTATGAATTTTTCATCAAGGATGCCAGTGGTTATGGTTAATCAATGTGCATATTTGAAAGGGATGCTGTGCTTTAGTATAACAGTAGTTCACTTCTTGGTGATGGGATGGTGAAGAGGGCATGAAAGGATGTGACCATGTTCCTCCTGGTGCATTGTCTTTGACCATAAGACTTAGCAGAAAACTCAATACCTCTTTGCATCTAACGTATTTAGTAGAAGTGACTGCCTATCAAGTGGGATGTATTTTGGGGGTCTAAATTAGTACTGTGCTTAAGCACTACCACAGTCACCAGCTACCTACTAAACTCAGTTGTGATAGAGTTGAATTAATGAAGAAGATAATGTAGACATAGACATTTGTGTGTCTTCTGAAATCTTCACCATGTCTTCTCTGATCCCTTTTAATATTTTTTTTCTCCAGGAGTATATCCTCAAAGGGGTGGTAAATGCAGCACTTGGACAAGAAATGGGCTCGGTGAGTAAAGCCCATAAGGTTGTCTAGCTTCTCCAACAATACAGTGTGAACAGATCTGTAGAAATCGGAATGGAGTGAAAGAGACAGTCTTTTCTTATTCAGATTGGAGGATCTCTGAGTATCTTAACCTCCTCCTGTAGCATAATCAGTCCAGAGTTAGTGAAATGCAAATTTCTGTTGCTGGACTTGATAGTAAATCAAGATTAGTTTGATTTCTCTATCCTGTTTCCTAAATCCCCTTTGCTTTGTAAAGTGTTCTTTATCTAGGCACATAGAGTGGCACATTTACCTTTTCTGTTATTGCTTCAGCACTGGTTTATCTGTTAGTTGCTCCCCAAATGTTCCTTGGAGCGTATTGTAGCATCAACCCTGGAACTCATCTTGCATTTCTTTTTCATTCTTCTTCCAGAGAGATCATCTGAAAATTGCTCAACAGTTCTTCCAGTTGGTGGGGGAATCGGCCAGTGAATGTGGTATGCTTGCAATGTTCTTTTTCCATTAATTAAGCCATCTTAAAATATCCAAATATATACCATCATATCTGTATCTAACTGCTGACTGTTAGCAGGAATATTGCTAGGCATTTTGTTTCTATAGGATGATTTTCAGAAAGTCTAAATTGTAGTCTAAAACAAATTTGCAAGATAAAATTAGAAGTCTCAATTCCATGCCCTACTATATTATTTCATCTGGAAAAGAGACTGTACTGCAAACTGCAAGTCTTTGTGACAGATTCTGTGGCAGCTTGCCTTGGCCTAATAATCCCCATTAGAGAAACAGAAGACACCAGCCCAATTAATTAGATGAAGTGAGTGGCTGAAACCTCACAAGCAGAGAGACGCAGGTACAAATCTAGGACCCTAATGAAAGCCTGTCAAGTACATAGAGTCCTAGCATAGAGTGTGCCCTGAAACTGAGGGTCATAAAAATGTAGAGAGGACTGGCTACAGGGATAAATGGAAGCTCTGACACTAACTTCTTGCTTGATTAATAGAGGGAAAAAAAGCATTACAACCCACCCACCATCATGCCCCAAAAAAGTATATTTTCAATATTTACGTACTCAGTAATAAACCAAACCAAGTTCTCCCCTTCTCTTTGCCAAAACCAAAAATCTCAAATAAAAAAAAAAAAGTCAGCAGTTGTAACATGGAAATTCAGACTCAATGGGGCTTGCCAGTTTCCTTTGTAGGCATTATCACTTAGTATTGTTTCTTTAGGTGGGTAACTTGTGCATGTTCATGGTGCAGACAGCTCATAGTCCTCAGAGACAGAATGCTGTCTCCTGTGTCCATAGTGACTAAAGAGAAGGAGCTCCAGAGAGAGAGTGTTAACACTGATGAAAGTTTCAGTAATACTGTTGAGCCATTCTATTCTGTTCCCCTTGCAGCCCTGGTACTACTGAGGTCATGCATCAGAGAATTTGACATTGGAAGGCTGGAAGGGGTTCTGTAGATGAGATTTCCCTAACTCATTCCTTTTGCATCGAAGCTATCTCTTCAGAGTTAGGATCCCAGAAAAAAAGGAAGAAACAATATAAACTATAGCAGTGGAGGACTTGGTTAGTGGGAGCATCTGAATGCCTATAATCATCATGCAGGTATGACAAGTGACCAGAGCACACATGGATAAAAATAATACAGAGATAGTCAGGGAAAGGATTTCTTGTGAAGATATAGCCCAAAATTGAAATTGTTAGGAAGCTAGAAGTTTGAATTTTACTGTGAAATATTTTTAAACTCACATGCAAAATAGAGAGGCTGAGATTTCAGCCTTTTAATGGCTGGGGTGGGGGGAATGGCAGCAGAAATGTAGTACAATTAGGAAGCTGGATTACTTAACAAAAGTGAGCCTATGGGAAGGATTGGTTCTAATGAGAGGTAAAAGGAAACATCGGTACTGTGAGCATCTTGCCCTCATGGTAATTCCATGTAAGAACTGCTTTGTCATCTTTTTAAAAGTTTGTGGGAGGAAACTGCCATAGAGAGGAGCATACAGTTCAGGGTAATTCCTTTAAAGGCAAAATAATGGGAGGGGTTTTGTTTAACCTCAAATGAAGAACAGATGGAGGTCAACAAAATGTATATAGGCAATAGAGGCAAACAGCTCTGCTTAGGTAGGATATAACAAAAAACCAAACACATGAAGCCCAAGTATGTGTTTTTATGCAAATAATAGATGTTTTTAAAGAAGTTGGATAAAGTGGAATGCTTGATTTTAGAAGAGGAAGCTAAAATCTGAAATAATTTTTTAATGTTCTAGGAGAAAGGTAACATAAAGGATATTGTTCCTATTTAATGTACAATGGGGATTGTATATTAAATAAACATAGATCGTACATAAATATACATACATAAATATGGATAAATATAGATAAATAGATGATGCCAGTGGAAAAATGGTTCTAAATATTAGAAAACTTCTCTCAAAATAAATATATTTCCTTTATCAGTGAGTAAAATAATACTGTTTTCAATTATGTGTTTAGATAGGCAACTCACCATATTGAAGCCAAATTATTTACCGGCCGGCCTGGATAGGAACAATGAGTGGCGTATTAAATAGGTTACAGATTTTATATAGAAAGCTAAATAATAGTTGGAGACTTTCATTCTGCCCATATTCACCTGATAAATGCAATTGCATGGCATAATAAACAGCATGAACTTTTTGTTTCTATCTTTCTTAGAAAAAGCACAAGTGAACAGGTAACTTTGGACCAATATTGAATTACATAGCACCTGAGTTGAAATTTTATGATGAAATTACAATTCTACTACAGTCATCTGAGTATAATCAAATTCAAAATCCACATATTAGCAAATACCTCAAAAAATGTCCACAGTACTAATCCTAGGAAGAGAAGCTACATAATAACCTTTCTTATTTCTAGCAGAAAATTTACAGGGAAATATCAGTGAAAAAGGATAAAATGCACTTGATTTGAACACTTGAAAGAACCTTTTGTTTCTCTAAAGAAAGGACTTGTATTCATAATTAATGAGCTATAGGAGACAAATAATGACATGACTAGGTTTGCCAGTGGTACAAAATTACCCATAGCAGTAGAAATGAAAGCTTCTATAATGATGAAAGATGTAAAAGACTAAGTAAGACTGGGTAATAATATGCAAATTATATCTAGCAAAATTATTGGAAAAGTTGAAGAGGATCTTAAGAATTGATGAGGAAGGAGGAAACAAAAATAATTACTATGTCATTGTATACAGATGTGATTCTTTTCCTTGAATACTGTCTACAGTTCTGGTTCTTAACATTTCTTTAAAAAATGGTAGATCAAGAAAGGATACAATAAATACACCAAGGATGATCAAAGAAAAGGGATATATTCTTGAAGTAGGAGAAGATGAAAGATGAAATAAAAGATAATACGCAGGCTGAAAAATGATGACTGAGTTTGATTATGTACATCATGAATCACAAGGAAAAGAGGAATAGAGAAGACTTATTTACTGTACAATACAAAATTAAAGAGCATTGGCATAAATTATTACTCAAGACAATTAAAATAAACAGCATTAATTACTTTTTCACATAATACAACTTATTTGATAGAGAAACTTGTAGAACCAGAATGTATTAAAAAAGTTGTAGATGAAAAGTCCATTGGCTGTTTAACACAAACTTTTCAGCAGTGATTTTTCAGTGGTGATTAAGAAGTCCTCGGTGCAGACTGTTGGAAGCTGGGATAAACTTGAGCAGAAGTGCCATTACATACCACACTGTGTATTATATGTGAAATCAGAATATCTTCTTTCTGTAGCTATATATTCTTACCCAGCAAACTGAACTAGACAAACCTTGGTTCCAATATATTAGTTTCTATGTTCTTAGGTAACTTATATTAGCCACTATGTTGAATACTTGTGGTCATTTGTTTTGCTGGATTTAGAACAGAGAACAGAATTCTTGCTGTTTGTATATTTGGGCTTTTCCTAAGTAGCCAGCCATGCTGTTCAAGCGTGTACATCATGCTTCAGCACTTCCCATCCAGCTAGTCCTTGCAAGGACCTTTAATGTCTTCATCAAAGTGCTTAGCTGCTTTGCAGATTTATAATACAGAAGTAAGTTGTTGTTTGCTAGAGTGAGGAAATCCTTTGCTGTGTCTTTGCTTGCAACTGGACCTATGTCCCAGTTTTCCCTGGGATAGAGTCAAATTTCTTCATAGAGAATGCTACAGTGCTGCATTTTGAATGTAGTATGAGAATAATGTTGATACCACAGTGATGTCTTAGTTGTTGCAAAGTCAAGGACTTCCCAATTTCCCATGCTCTGCCAGTGAGGTGCTGCATGAGAAGCTGGGAGGGAGCACGGCCAGGACAGCTGATCTGAATGAGCCAAAGGGTTATTTCATACTATACAACACCATGCCCAGGACATGAACTGGGGGGAGTTGGCTGGGAGGGGCTTACTGTGGTTTGGGGAGGGGCTGGGCATGGGTCAGTTGGTGGTGAACAATTTTATTCTGGATCACTTGTTTCTCCTGAGTTTTATTCCTCTCTTTCTCTCTCTGCCTCCCTCCCCCATTTTCATTACAATTATTACTGTTACTGTTACTATTACTAATAATATTTTATTTCAATTATCAAACCATTCTTATCTCAACCCACAAGTTTTACTTTTTTATAGGGGGGAGGAAGGTGGAGTGAACAAGCAGCTGAGTGGTATTTAGTTGCCAGCTGGGGTTAAACCACGACAGTCTACAATTCTTCTTATTTTAATGTGGGTTATCAAAAAATAATGGATTAAAATAAAGGTGTGGGATATTTTTTCTGACTTCCTTTTGTTAACTGTAGAAATTCCATTGACTGCATTAAGAAAAGCAGCAACAGGAGTTTAGGAAGAACACAGTGTCATTTATTTGTAAAGTCATTTGTAGTCATCAATTAAGCCCTTTGCTTTTTTTAATTAGATCTCTGCCTTAGAGGTTCAAGGAACATGGAGTAAATTAATTAATGTGCAAGTAATTTCCATTAAATGTACACATTTTATCTCGTGTTGGATGTTGTGCACTTTAACAGGAGTCAGACAAAACAAAAACTAAAAAACATCCAGGAAGCACTTAGAGTGTAGGAGTCACTATTCATTCTCTAGAAATATTTCAGCAGAAATAACACCCGAACAGCAGCTTGGGGTTTTTTTAAGCTTGATAAAAATTCTTAATCCTAATGACGTGGAATGGAACACACATTACAAAGGAGGTTATAAGTAGATTTTTATAGTTAGTTTTCATTCTCTTCTACTAGGGTCTCAACTGGGTGGGAAATTAAACAGATGAGATTTCTTTTAAGGAGGAAATAGGGCAGGAGGAACATCAGTGAAAACAAATTAACATTCCCATTAAATGCAGTATTTCTGGTGCTTAGCCTAAGTCTTACAAACTACCCAAAACCACTGCAAGCATAATGAAAAAGAGCACTCCATTTGTTTTCAGTGGTTCTCTTTTAGGACCAACTCAGGTATATTTGATGTTGGGTGAGAGGAATGAAACATTTCTTCTGAACTTCATGCAGTCTTTTCTTTGAGTTTTTTTCCTAGGTCACCCTAAGTCATCTTTTCAAATGACAAAATTTTCATCTTTCTGCATGAGCCACATGGGGTGAATTAGAAAATTCTAATTTTTCTGTCACTAGATAGTATTCATTGCTGAGTTGTATGAGATACACAGATGTTGTACTTGTTTTTTGGTTTTTTTAATGGAATCTTTCAGTAAAATATATGGGGAGTGGTGTGCTGCGATAATAAAACTTTCTGCCAAAATATGGACATAAGAATAAGTACTAAAATTTAGAAACACTCGAATAATTTATGGGAATATTGAGTTTCTAATATTTTGTTACTGTGACTCATTTTTACTAAATATGCATCCTCAGTTTTAAGTTACCTTTGCATGTTTTGCATTTTTAAAATTTTGTTCAAAATAAATTGTGATTTTTATGAACTTCAAAAATCAAATTTCAGAGAAAAGGGGCATTTTTGAGTTATTTGTAGTCTCATTAATCAGTGTTTCTTGGCTCTTTTTTATAAAACTGTTTCTATTATTGTCTGGTAAAGGCATATATTTGTCATGAAAACTACTCCTGTATGTAAAAAAGGACAGATTAATATACAGGCCAGTTTCTGCTCCCAAGTGAACACTTAATAAATAACTGAATGGTATGGTTTGGATATAAGATAAGGATTGATTTGTGTCTATATGGAAATGACATGACATCCAAGCTTAGTATCTCCTAGTGCTAAAAGATAAAAAAATTAGAATATTTTGCTTTCCTTTGAAATGTATTTTGACATCTTATAAAGTGCTTTCCAGGAATAACTTCTAGCTACCATATTTAAAGAAGAATATACAGTTTTCCAGTTGAATGCTCAATTTTGTGTCATGGCATGGAGTCAAAATATTGGTCTTTTGGAATTTCTTTATACAGAAAAGTTATTCTTATTTTTTTGGTGTGGATGGATTGATGGTAACCAACAGTCAGGAGCAGATTACCTCAGGGATACTGGTAACCTTAGGATGTTATCTCTTGTCACCTTTCCAAACTGCACAGAGCAGCATCCTCTCTAATGATCACTTGTAGTGGAATAGTAGTGATTTGATATCACTTTCATTTAGGCCTTCCCATCTGCTACCTGGGTTCATCCATGTCTGCCAGCTGGGTCTAACAAAAATTAGTCCTAGTAAGCTTATTTCAGTATCTTTAAAAAAGTTTTGAAATAGTTTTCAGTATCACAGCTTGCAATGTCAGAGTAGGTGACAGCATGATGTGGTTGCAACAAAGTTTATGATGACATAGATAGCAACAAAGTTTAGTGATACTCATTCGAACTGATATGTCTAACTTATTTATAGCTTTACCTCTTTTAAGCAATGTGGTAATCCCAAATGCATGTACATTAATTTCCACACTGTCTGATATCGCTGAGTATTTTACCTGTTCCTGTATTAATTATTTTTTATAACAATATTTTCAGTATATCAAAATTTACTCTCTTACTCAAACTAAAATTAAAATATGTACAGTTTATTTATCCAGGATAACTGAAAAGTCTAATTTTAAAGAAAGAAGGCTAATCATGCAAGAATAGCAAACCCAGGCTTTGTATGAAGTGTCATTTCCTAAAAGTGAGAATAATTAATGGTAAAATTATACTATGTAAACTGTGTCATTGAAAAGGCTTGTTAGGTAAAATTGTTACTTGTCTCTGTAGAGTTTGCTGTTGAACAAAGTCTTGCAAAAGTTATTAGATGCTGTAGAGAGAGTTGACAAGATGAACTAATTTTTTTTTCCTAACCTCCAGTATGGTCCTTTGCCTGAAAAGGCAAGCTACACTATTTTTAGAAACCAGCTTCTTTCATAGGTGCTAGCAATTTGGCAGTGATTTCCATTACCATGTGTTTTTAAAGTCTACAAATTTGCATTTCTCTTTTGAATTTTAGATACCATTCCAGGGAGACAGTGCATGTCCTCCTGCTTCTTTCTTCTTAGACAATTTCCTAATGTCCTAATTTACCTCAACTCAATCAAGGTTAGTATTATTATTTAGTACTGCTAGTACTGTAATGTATGGAATCACTACTTTTATACTGTACTACGTGAGACACGATGGAAACATAAAAAGATACAGAAATGAAACAGTAAAAATAAAACATAGGAGTGATAGTGGGACATAAGTGGTCAGTACAGTAAATTGATTAAAATGTAAAGAAGCAATTCAGAAAATAGTACCATGCAGCATGGTGGGCATGATGGACTCATCACACTTGTAATCAGGCTTTCTGGTGGCATCACAGAAGGTAAGAAATATAATTAAAGGAAGGCAATGAAAAAAAAGTATATTTATGGGGTAGGAATGGAAGGAAAAAACCCAAATGTTTTCTTAAGACTTATCAAGTGAGTGATAGAGATTATTGTTGCTGGTTAATAACTGGGGACGTTTTTGTGAACAAGAGTGTGTGGGAAGATAGGACACAAAGAACTCTGAAAGGAATAACATTTACATTTTACATGGAAAAGAGTCACTGAAGGGCTAAAATAGGGCGGTATTATCAAAGCAGTAACTTAGGAATGTTATTTTTGCAGAAGTTATCTGAGTACCCTGCAGGCAATGTTGCATTTTTCAAAATAAGAGAAACTTGAAGTCAACATCATGCAGCATTATCAGATCAGTGGATAGAATGGGTATAACTTACAGACACATAGTTAAAGTCAGATGTGGAGAAAGAGGGAGGCTGGAGTGTGATTATGGATTAAATGATTGCAGTCTTGTTCCAGTGGTTTGAAAGCAGAGGTGAAACAACTCTGTGTTTGGTAGGAAGAGGAATGAGATTCTTAAAAGAAATTATTAAAAGAATTGGGAGATACACAAGATGAGCATAACTACAATGTTATGAGGAGTATGAGATCTAAAGAAAAACATGTGGTTGTAATGGTGCCCAAAAGCAGCTGCTGAGTGAAAAATGGTGAAGGTATAATGTTTTTAAACTTTGTCTGGAAGGAGACCTTTGAAGAAATCCCAGTGGCTTTTGCCACTGGAATGGCTCCAGTGGAGTGGAATGAAGAGATACCCCACCACCACTCCAAACTGGCCTATGTGTGTAAAGAAAAGGAAATTAACAGTAAGAATTGCTTTGCCTTACTTGAGCCATCTAAAAGTTGGATTTCTAGTTAGAACTGGTCATCTGGTATCAGTTTATTGCCAATGGGTATAGACAGTAATTTCCAGGGAAGTCATTCTGTGTATTTCTTACACTTATAGTGCAATTAATTACTCCACAGACATGCTCAGCTCTTTCAATTTCCTTGGAAAGGTTTTTAAACACCTAGTTCTAACCTGAAAAGGTCAAAGTTAAATGTGATTACAAACCACCTCCAAGGTATATGGGACAAAAATTTACTGCTTACTACTTTTCTTGCTTGTTCCTTTTGAAGTAATTGATCATTCTCATAATTTTTCAGCTGAGACTAGCTATGCTCAGATTTACTTAAGTAATTTCCCTTCTCTATAAGTCACAGGGATGCAAAAATAGTACTTTCTGTACCATGATACAGGCAAGGTGTACATGGATTTACCTTTGTGTTTCATTCACAGGAATAAAATTCAGTAGAACCTCTTAAAAAAGGGCTGCCCTCTATGAAGATTATTTGCTTGGTATTTTCTCAAGAAACATCACTTTCATCCATGATCAATTAAAACTGCTTTAGGTATAAGAGAGTCTCAGAGGACACCTTACTATAAATGTATTGCCAGCTGCCCCGAGGGTGACATTATAACTCTGTCAGGGATTAACTAAGTAAAAAACAACTTGATTCAGGCTCTACTGAGCTGTGGGCACAGTGGGAATTCTTCATTTTTAAGCTGGGTATCTGAGCATCTCATTGAAATGGACCTCATTCAGAGGACAGTTGATTTATGAAGACATTGAAGACCTCTAAAAAGACCACAAAAGAGTAAAGTGCAGTACATATAATGTGGTTAAAAAAAAAAAGAAATAAAGAAACTAGCTGCTGTAAATGTGTTGTATTTTCAGCAGCATTTTTTCATTTCTCCTGGTTTTGGTTTTGCAGTAGGTCTTGTCTCTAACACTTACATGGCCAGGACAGAATGACACATTTTTTGAGTTTGGTTGTTGATAAAGGTTTTTCTCCATTTTAATTATGAAATGCAATGGGGTGTACTTGAACAGAAAAAGCATTCACGCAGTAAAGCTAGCATCTGGCTCACCAGCTTTGCTTAATCTGGAACTTATGCTGATTCACATGTAACTACTGTTGAGAAAGAATGCAGTGAAGTGTCATAATCCTCATACGGTGAAACCCATTAATTCACCGTAAGAGCACTGAAATGTTTTCACAAACTGAGCTTAAAGGTTCATCCCAATTAGTTCTTCCTCATGCTGTCACACAGTTTGCTGTATTTGCTGGCTTGTACATGCTACCACAGCCTGTTTGGGTGAAACCTGGACATTTGGCAAATAGCGGTAATCCCTCACCTTTCCTTTCAAGGCACTTAATGTATGTGGGTGGACTAAATCTGTACCCTTTGCAGACTGCCTGTGACAGTGAAAGGAAGAGGTTCCTCAGTGTCCCTACATCGTGAAAGAAGATATTACTGGGAAAGGGATTTGTGCCTTGCTTAATTTACCTTTTGTATAGTCCCAACTATTTACTTCTTCCTCAACTCTAAAAGAGGGAAAAAAACAAAAGTTCAATCTTCCTACACAAGTTCCGTTTCCTTTATAAATGTATAAGGAAAAACATTTCTTCTTCCCTACATCTTGCTGTTATGCACACAGGAAGGCTTTCCTTCAGTAACTATATTGGATAAACCACCTCTTTTCCCATGCTCTCTCCTAAGCACTGCACCACTGCTGGGAAGGAACTTCAATCCTATTCATGCTTGCATCTGGTATTGTGTTCTGTCTTACCTCTGCCAGCTCTACCGGTCTGGCAGTGTGTGATGGTGTTGAATGTAGAACACAGCTGACTTTTGGTCATCTGAGTTATATTTCAGTCTGACTGTGATCAGGTCAACCCCAAATATCAGCCTACCCTGTACATTGAGTTACATTTCCTGCTTTGACCTATGTAGCTTTTCAAAAAACATACAGCTAGTTCAATCTGATGTGTCCTAAACCAAATGTGTCATATCTAGTGTTATGGGAGAGAAAAACTCAGTGTTGCACTTCATCTAGAGAAGGGGGTACCTGTAAGTAAGGCTTGCTTAAAGAAGTCCTATTACCTGGTGTGCTGCCTGCTACAGCCCAGTACTGTGGCTCCACCTCCACCATGAGATCCATTTTTTCCAATTAGCATCCATCACATAACTAGATGCACAGGATCTCTTGATAAACCCCGACAAGTCTTAGGAAAACAGACTGTTCATTGCCTTTAAGATTCAAGGAAGTCAACTGCCTATTTACCCACCCTAGTGGTGAAGTAAGTGCTTGGGAAGTGAAAGATACCATGGCAGCACAGCATGTCTTCACATGCCCCAAGTGAAAATTATACCCACAAAAGCTGCCACTGCAATTTTGAGTTTGGAACACTTTCCAGATCTCTCGTAGTTAATACTCTGGAATGTTTCAGCAGTGTTTGTAGTCATGAATGTAGGATGGAAAAGCTAGTCCATAATTTTTCTGCCCACTGTTTATAAATACCGTATGTTCCTAATGTGGTATTTTCTTTTTCCTTCCCATTGTCTTCTTTATATGATCTGAGTCAGATTGAGGCAGGGGGGCTGTATTTTTTATGTTTTTTTATCATGGGAGGAAATTTTTTTGTTGTATTTATTTGGGTTTGTCCATATTTTTCAGAGTTACTTCTACAACAATGATACTTTTAACTTCAACTATGCCCAAGCCAAAGCCGCAATGGGCAATTTTAGTGAAGCTGAAGAGGTATGTATTTATTTTCTTTGAAAAACAGCAGTAGAAACGTTTCCCCCATATTCTCCTCTTTCCTTCCTTTTCTTCACCAGGATCTTCATGTTGGTTGAAAATAAGCAGGTTCTGTGGAACATCTTCTTCCCCTTCTTAGGGAAACTGAAACTCTCAGTGAGCACTGTTCAGAAAAGATTATCTTGCTAATCTTGTAATGGGAGGTATACAGAGAGTCATGCTGCTTATGGTGCATCACAAGAGTGCTTGCAGCTACCTCTAATTGATCAAAGAATGGCCTCTTAATCAGATTTTCTACGCTTTGTCTGGGATCCCAGGCACTCCTTTTGTTCAGACTGAGTAGGACATGCTAAGTAAAAGACACTGAATAGTTAAGAGCTTCTAGGTGTCCCTAGAAATTTGTGTTTTAAAAAAAAAACCTTCCTCTGGGATATGTGGGAGGAAAAGAGGAAGTGTTCACTATCTTATTCAGCAGCATTCAGATGCAGCTGGAAGAGATTAACTTCTAAACCCAGTACTTTTTTATGTCTGTGTGCAGCAGAAACTTAATTACAACTAAAATATGCAAAAGCAAATAGCTATTATGAAAGTGGAAGCAACATTTTCCACAAGACCAGAAAAGAATACAAGCCACAAAAAAAAATCCCACATCACATAGTCTAAAGTGAACAATACAGGTTTTGTTGGTTTGGGGTTTATATTTTGTTTTGTTTTTCCAGTCTTTCTGACTTTTTAACTATACAGGTATGTCAATAACAGAGCCCCCCTGGTTTTACAACTTGACTTTCCACCTCCATCCCAACCCTCCCATCCAGCACCCTCACCCTTTAATTTCTGTGACCCAAAATTGCATCTCTCTTTAAGAAGAATATCCAGGACTGTAAAGAAAATGGATATATATTTCATTTCAACAAGCTTTCAATTCACTTAGCCTCATGAAAATCTTTCAATACTGTGCTAGCAGGCTTGTGCTGATTCCTGAAACTCCATAAGAATGATAATGCTGTAAGTAAGTTTTAGCAGCAACTAGGCAACAAAGAAACACAAAGTTGTAAACTCCTGTTAATCTACATTTTTCCTCTTATGTTTTTAGAAGCTGTTCTATAGAAACTTGTGTTATATAGGTGATGCATTAAATACCAGAATTCTATAATTACATTGATTCATCTGGCCTCATGTCTGATCTTGGGTTGTGATGACAGTTCCATATAAAGATCAGCCTTCCCCAGTGTCTCATAAACTTGCAAAACATCTACATATAGCACTTACTAAGTTATTTAAAAGCATAACTCCCTGGACATAATAAAATAAAACATATGATAAAGTGTTACTTACAGTGATAATGCTGCTTTCTTTTTATCTCTTCCCTATTACTCCTTCTCCTCCCCCCCCCAAATTAGGGGATCAGCAATATTTAAGCAATACAAATGTCAGTAATTGGTGTAACTCACTGTTTATGCATACATCTATTCCTGTAAAGGTATTTTGATTTTTGCCAGTAGCATCCAGTATAGTTACAAATATACTTGAGAGAGGCATAAATAGCTTTTTTTTTTTGTTAGACCAAAGTTAGAGTACACTTTAAAATGTATAACCTCCCCCACACATCCTTTTTTATGTAGAATGTAACAAACCTGTATTTGTACAGTAAGGTACAAAAGATGAATGCTTTGCCTGAGAACCTTAATGAAACCGAAATGATTAGAAATGGCTCATTGCAGACCTGGAATGATCTCTGACATGTACGGAAGGAAAGTGTCATCTATATGTGAAACTTCCAGTATTTCAAGAAGATGCTAATATAATTGCTTGCATTGCTTTCTAAACAAACACATTCCAAATGGCTTTTCCCACAGGCCCAGTGTTCCTTTGTGCTGTTTGTGCTGCATGGCCGCCCACTGGCGCTCGTTCAGGGCAGGCCGCACCCTCTGCACAGCTTGGTGTTCTGAAGCTGCACAAGTCCCTTGACAAACAGGGTTGTGTGAATCCTCCACCTACTCCACACAGAGGGATGCCCCCTACACTGAAATTGCATATCCAAACTCTTCTCATGAGCAGTTGTTTGTGTGACTTAAAACTTATCTGTGTGTTGAAATGAGGAAGGTTTGCCTTCTGTTTGTTCAAAAGTACGTGCATGTATAACCTTTTATTTTCCTTCTTCCTGCAGGTGTTCCTTTTGATCCAGAGTGAGAAGATAAAAAGTGATTTTGTTTACCTTAGCTGGCTGGCTCGCTGTTGTGAGTCATTTTACTCTCAACATTGCAGAATACAGATCCTCCTCTATTGCGTCAGTCTTGGCAATCCACTTTCCTAATTGAATTTAATGTTGTAGGTGGATTCAGGACTATGAAAGTGAAAAGCTGATTGCACTAGTTATAGTGTGGGTGGTTATTGCACCTTTCATACATCTGGCTTTTATAAGCAATTACTGGTTCAGTGCAATGCTGTTATAGTACTGTCAATGCAGCTTTGTCCTGACCAGTGACCCTTTTTTTTCCTCAATTGTCTACTCAGTTGCTTGAGTGAAGACTTTCTGACTTAAAAGACTGAGTTACAACTCTAAAATGTTCAGAGTAGAACACAAAATAGAAGCATTCATACTGGGTCAGGCTCAAGGGTCTGTCTGCCTTCAAGGTTAGCCAATGTCAGATGTCTAGGGAAGAGAGGAATCAGGCAAGCATACACAGTATTTTTCTTCCTACCATGTTACTCTACATATTGTCCAAACTCCTGTGCCTGAGGGATAGCCTTTATAATCTCCAGCATGTGTTTTTCTTCCAAAAACTTTTAGAAGAGTTCTTTCTTTGAATTTCTTTGACTCCAGGAAACTTTTGCCATGTTTAACATTCTATAGCAAATCTTATTTACTTTTTCTGAATCAGTTTTTAAAAAGCTGCAAAGTACACCTAAGTACAGAGATAGCTGCAGTGCCACATACTTTTCTAAGGACTCGAGTCTGAGACTCCCTTGGCTAATTTGTTTTCCTTACGGTGCCTCATTACAAAAATGTTTTCTTATCAAACCATTTTCAGCAGTTATACTGGAATGTAAATATGTAAGCTTTGGATGTTATGCCATATTGCAGATGTAGTAAACATCTCCTAATATGATCTTTCCAGACAGGCACATCACACATAGGGATGCCTATCTATGACTGTTTTAGGATGTGCCAGTTTATTTCCTTTTTAATTAAGATGCAGTACTTGATTGTGTCTGAGTGTTTTATATATAGTTATCTTTTTGTGTGAAGTATGTAAATTACTAACAGATCACCTTGTAATACATTAATGTCAGAGTACAATTAGGGATTGAATGGTAAAAATTCAGCGCTGAAATACTTCCAAGGGGCAAAAAGTACCAGAGACATGCATCCTTTTGCATGACAGAATGTATTTTTTTGTTTAGTATTATAGTACTATTTATACCAAATTCTCCTTGAAGAGAAGGTCAAAAAACATTAGATTATCATAGAGCTGCATTGCTCTAGGTAGGTTGGTGTTGGAAATTGAGAACTGGCTGTTTACCACTGTATGTGGTATCTGGAGTTGATGAGAGATAAATCCGATTTGATGTCTTGCTGCCTCCTAAATGAGAAGAGTCTATAAATTCTGTGATTTGATATTGCATGTTTATTGTTGATTATTACCCATTCTACCTGCAGTATAAGTATAGACACGGTGGACACAGATGTAACAAGCTAAACAGTCCCTCTTTTGAAAAAGCACAAGAGTGATCCTTATGTGAATAGCCACATACTCCCAGAGCAGCTGTTAAGGAAAACTTAAATTAATTTTCTTTTCTCCCAGTGTTTGAATGAGCCTGGAATTATGAATACCAACCATAGATTCAAGAGAATGCCTTCTTATCACCAGGAAATAGAACCTTTCTGTTTAAACATTGTAGAAGAATTTCTCCTCATCAAGATGGAATATTGAGATTGATTTATTTCTATGTATACCAGTGATGTTTAAAGACCAATGAAAAATTCAAGTCATATATACAAATTTAAAACTAGCACAGGATCTCAGGAGTTTAGAAACATTTTTTCTAGTAATGACAAGTTTTGTTATGCTTGGAGGGACTTCAACCTCTCCCCTCTTCTTTTGATTTGTTATGAATCATGGGAATTAAATGTTTAGACTGACGTGGGCACCAAGTATTAAAGACCTCAGTTTGGTGCCAATTAAAATTTTTTTGTGCGTAAGAACACACAATCCTAAATTTTACCATATAAATGGATTGCCACAGTTCCTTGTCCTGCATAAAAAACTTCTCTGATGCTTTCCATTCTGTTCCTTAATCACATCTCAAATCATGAGAGTTGTTCTTATTGTTATCTGTGAAATATAAATTAAGATGTAACCACTATAATTATTCCTTTTGACAATGGTATTCTCTGCTGGATTGGCTGTTATCACTAGTAAGGCAGAAGAGAAGTTTCCCTTCCCAGCCTCATGTTCGTGGCTGAGGCATTTACATTAAACAAAGAAATACAGGAATATCCGTTCCACCTGCTACTGAATATTGTGTGTAGCATATTCTTTTCACAATTCCATCTTTTTCTTATTACTGCAGATATTATGAATAAGAAACCACAGCTAGCCTGGAAGCTCTATCTGAAGATGGAAACCTCAGCGGACTCCTTTAACCTATTGCAGCTCATTGCAAATGATTGTTACAAAGTGAGTTTTCTCTTCAGAACTTGGTGTATGGCATGTTAATTCAGTGATAATACCAACAGTCTTTTTTTGATACTTTTTATCATTGTCACCACTAGTGAGCTTTCTTTTATGAGGGCAGGATATCTAATAATGTGAATGAGTTGGCAAGGATTAGTCAGTACTTTAACCTACAGACCTTCTTGGTAGAGAACCCATTGATTAAAATGTTGGTAAATTACTGCATGCTTGAGCTATCAATAATGATAACAGTTGATTCTACTAGGGATTCCTTATGGGTAGAAACTTTAACAGAAAAAAATCTAGCATAGATTCAGCAAGACACTTCATGCTGCTTTTTTTTTCCTTTCTTGAGGGGAGACAGTATTGTGTTTTCCTTAAAGTTTGTGATGGGAGAGACTCCTTGTGATCTCAAAAGCAATATTGTAAAACTGAAATAATTCTCTCTTGTACATCTTTCAAGTACTCAGTTACCATCGCACCCTAAAAGTCTAGTTGCTCAAGCAAGTGGTTCTGCCTCTAGTGTTTCCCATAGATGCAATTTGTGAAAGCAAGTTGACAATCAGACCTCATGTAAAATCTCTAGATCATTTAAAGTCTCACTTAAATCAGTTGATGGCTTTGTCTTAAATTTTTTTCAAAACCTTCTTATCCTGAAGAGAAGTAGCTCCACATTTTGGATTTATCTAGAGCTCTTAAAAGCTGCATTTATAGAACTAAATTTTTCAGCCTAATTATGTGTCTACATAAATGACTGCTCCAAAATCGCTACTTTGATATTATAATTTATCTTTCTACACTAGCAGCTATTTGTACCTCTTGAAGTAAATGGCAAGGTCCATGTTGTTTGATTTTATGTGGCATTTTTCAGTTGTTTCTGAAACATTGCATTATATTGGAGGTCCACAGACAGCACCAGAGATGTAACTTAAGAAGGCAGTTGCATTAGGCTTTACTCAAAAGAAAACAGAATGAGCATAGATGGAACAAGGTAAACAGTATCCTGAGAGTTGGTGTAGCTGGATACCTCATTGCCGTGCTGGTAGAAATTGTTCAGTGAAGAAGTTGGCATGCAGGATTTCATGCTAATTTCTTGATGCTTTTTATGCAATAGCCCATCTTATCCACATGGGGAACAGCACATGACTTGGGGTGAAGCATTTCCTAGATTTATGCCAGATAGAAGGAGAACATTAAACCTCTACCTGCTCAATGGAACTAGATCAAATACTAATTTGGATAGATCAGTATTCTAATTTTTCTTTTTAACTGATATATCTGATAGCATTCATACTCACTATCTTTATTCCCATACATTTAAGTGTTTGCCAGTCACCAGTGGTTAAAATCAACATTTATGTGAAGAAAAGAGAATTATTACTCATCCTGTAGTACCAGTGTTTCTCTGACTAAGGTTTCCAAATGTAGCTCCCACAGCCTGCACTTTTTTCTCTGCAGGCTTCCAGCTACCAAAGGACAGGAGGTTGTACTCAGTCTACCTTCTGTGATCTCTCATGGGAAGATGCTAGTCACAAACAACATTGCCCTTCAGGCTTGCCCAAGTGGAGAACACTCATACAGCCCACATGAGATATGCTGTGATGACTTCAAAAGCCACAGTTAATCTGGTCACTCATTTTGCATTGACCGTTGCCAAGCAACTTGCTCCTGGTTCCCAATTACAAGTAGAGAACCTAAAGCAGAAAAGATAGGGTACACACTGGATTTTCCTATGCTATGAAAAATTTTGGATTATAGAGTCACTGAATCTTCTTTTGAACTGTATTGTAACAGCAAAGAAAAAAAAAATAAGTTAAACCCAGAAGATAAACAAATATGTGGCCATGTCTACATGAGGAAATGTTTCATTTTCAAATGTCTGGACTAGTTGGAGGTTGATATTCTGACAGAGGTTTTGGTATAGTTAGTACAACACTGGATAAGACCACCTCACAAAAAGATGTTATTATACCACCTGTTTCTGATCTCCCCAGCTGCAATGTCGCTGTTCTGTGTCACTTGCTGCCTGCAGAAAAACAGGAAAATGCACATTGCTTCTACAACTTACTGCTGATTTCAGAAAACTGAGCTCAGTGTTTTTAATCCCCTTCTGAAAGGTGGTCAGGAATAATGTTTCATTTTCTGTGCAGATGCGTCAGTTTTACTATTCAGCCAAAGCCTTTGATGTTCTGGAGAGACTGGACAATAATCCTGAATACTGGGAAGGCAAGAGAGGTGCTTGTGTGGGTGTATTTCAAATGATCTTAGCTGGCCGAGAAGCAAAGTGAGTATTCTGTGTTGTATCTGAATTGATTTTGCTCTTTTCCTATTTTCAGCTAGCTATAAGCCAGAATCATAATCTCAGCTTTAGGACTAGATATAATCTTCCAATCTTTTATTAACCTTTCAGAGAAAGGCTCTGTCCAAAGGCTCCATATGCAGTGTTTGACTTGAAGTGTATCTTCCACACCAACAGTTATAGAATATATGGCAGAGAATAATTTATGAGCAAGCTGTGGACTATAAAATACTTTGGTCATCATCACTAGGAAAAGCTAGGTCATAAGTGTAGTAGTACGTTCATGAACTGGGGGAAAACAACATAATTTCATGATGATGGTGTAAAAATGGAAAACTATCACATGACATTTTAAGGTGCATAGAACAGAACTAAGGAAGCATTTACTCAACACTGTAGGAAGGACATTATTTCTCTAAAAAAGGAGTAGATGAGACTGTTTACATTAAAATTTGCCTTCTGAAGACACTTACAATGTCACACAAGTATACTTACTTGATGAAAGCTTAAAGGAAATCATCTGTGTTACTGATAATTTTGTTTTCGGCCCATTTCACTGGATGGGGGAATGAGAGAGAGTAGTGAAGTATTTAAATACTGCTTAAGCAGTATTTAAGAACTGCTCCCTTGTGAGTATTCTGCTGTGATGCCAGATGGCCATTCTCCTCTGGCCAAAGTTGTTGTTTCCTACATGACTGGTAGGTGTGTATCTTGGTCTTCCTTCTATTCACTTCTCTGCTGGAATCTCATTAACTACTATACCTTTCAAGTGTCTTTTTAGCAATCACTGCAGTACATGCAGTAAAATACACATAGCTTGCCTGATGCAGTTAAGTTCTTACTATAAACTAACTGGCAAACTGCAGCAGGATTTATATAGGTTTAATAATAATAGGTTTATTCTATTGGGAATGTTGATTTTTATGTTATTTGTGTTTATGTGTATTGTGTTATGTGTAAGGTGCTTTGGCAGTGTTTAGCTAGATGTTGCCATACTAAAGACTAGCAAATAACATTAAAGATTTTTTGAAGTTTGGTTCGTTCTGGGGAACAATTTTGCAAGAGTAAGGGTATGTATACAAATACACACATATGTACATACTAAACTAATTCTTAAACTAATATTTTGGTGACTTTTTTTTAACTTATTTCTTTACAATTGTATACAAGACCTTTTCATCAGTTGCTTTTTTTGTCTCTGGGATTGCACCTAGCATGCATTTTAACCTATTCCAGCACTGCAGATGAATGTTTTGTGAAATAGTGTGATGTGAATAGTTTATTGTATCAGTTGGGTCTAACACTCACTTAAATCTTTGCTTTTCACATTTATAGAGAGACTTTGCGGGAAGTACTGCACCTTCTGAAGAGCACTGGTAATTCTCAAGTAGAATACATTGTTCGCATCATGAAAAAGTGGGCCAAGGAGAACAGAGTCCCTTTTTGAGTCAATGTCACAAAATGAACCAGGTGAGTTGATGTATGTCTGGCTGCAAGACAAGAGTCTTGGCTTTTCCTGTGCATTCTGGGTGTCTCCTTCCTTGCAGAACTTGAGGCATTCAAACAGGTTGACCCAGCTGAGGAAGTGTGTCCTGTAGTGAGATTCAAAACATACAGCAAGTTGGTTTTGTGTTTTTGGGTTTTTTTAATTAAAACTTTATTGGTACTTTTTCTGTTGCACCACTCTATTCCTCAAAGTTTCATTTTTTTCAATAGTAGTTTCAACTGTCCCCAAAATCAAAGTGCTCCTCAAATGGTCCCCACGTTCCTCCACATGAGTTACTGCATGTTGGGAGGGTTTCTCCAACAAGCCTTCTGGCCTCTGGAGAAGAATCATGTTACATGACTCAGACAAACCTACTTCGGCAGGTAATGGAATGTGGCAGAAAGAGATGGTGACAGTGATACCACTAGGCACTACTAGGGTATCAGATAATACAAAAGGCTTAACACAGAATCATATAATCATAAAATAGCTTGGGTTGGAAGGGGCATTAAAGATCACCTAGTTCCAGCCTACCATGGGCAGGTACAGCTTTCACTCAGAGCTGCTCAGGTCCCTCAGAGTTTTATCCAACCTGGCCTTAAGTATTTCAAGGGATGGGCCATCCACAACTGCTCTGAATAACTTGTTCCTGTGCCTCACCACCCTCATAGTAAAAACTTTCTTCCTGATATCTAAGCTAAATGTAATTTCAGTTTGAAACCGTTCCCTCTCATCCTGTCACTACATGCCTTTGTGAAAAGTCTCTCTTCTTTAGGACTTTTATAGATTACCTATCTGGGGTAAAGTACAAAGCATATTCTGAGGCGTATCCTTTTCTGAATGAATTTCAACTACCAATACCTTAATTTGGTTTTTTTTTTTTGTCTAAGGATTGTTTTCTCTCTTATCATCTTTTTCAGAGCATGGAGACTTATTTGACTGACGGTATTGTTCAATCAATCTCACTTTGAAATTTAACACTCAAAACATTTATTCATGTCTATGTAGTTCACATGAGAACTTTAGCAATCTGATGGATAAAGAGATCTTTTGAATTATTTTCTTCAGCATTTACCACCGTCCTGAGCAATATATTCATTATACTTTTGGATTTATTATACTCTACTGTATTTTTACAGAAAACGATTCAGGGAATACATAATTCTAAGAGAAGGCAACAATTATAACATAAAAATGTGTTATATATTTCGTAGTAAAAAACATTTGTATATTATTTTTAAAAGGAAACTTTACATTTTATAAATTTGTAAAATACTTCAGAAGTATTTTTTTATCTTTTGAGGGGAATTCAGAATACCATATTCTCTACAGTCTGTGCATTGATTAAAGCTCTTATTTGAATCTACAGTTGAATGTCGGATTGGTCTGTGTTGCTTTATACTGCAGAAGTTGAAATAGAATATTCATTTTGCCGTGGAAGAGGGCAGGTTTGTGGCTGATTGTGAAGTGCATGTTCATTAATCAGTCAAAGGCCTTGGTGCTAATCTTATGCTAGTTTGGTGAAACTAAGGCAGCTGGGTGTATGTGGAATATGCACACCTTTCTGCCATACAATGTGTCTGGTTCTACTGCTTTAAGCAAAAAATGTGGGTATCACTGTTCAGGTGGCTAGAAGTACATTGGTGCACTTAAATCTAGAAACTGATCCATCACACTGGCAACAATAGGCCTTTCAACAGGGGCAATGTTACACTCATTCAAAAGAGGTGTGAAAGGAGCAGTATTTTCACTGAAAGCAGTTACAAAACACTTTACTTTTGAGCATTTTTCTTTTCCATCTCAGTTTAATTAACTTGGAACCAGATTGGGAATACAATTATGAATCTTGGTACAAAGCTTCAAAAAACTACGTTGGTGACTTTGTAGCAGATGTTAAATGCATCTAATTACTCCCTTTGTTGAAGCTTAACCTGCAGGAGAGCTGAAGAGCATCCAAATCCATTACAGACCATTTTACATGTTGGTTGAATCTTCTGGAATAAGTGTGATGGCTTTGCAGCATAAGTGCTTGGGGGCCAATTTTAAATTCTCTTGTCTGTGACTAGGGAAAAAGGTTTTTTTAAAACCTCACCTTTATTTACTGTAGCCATAATGTCATATTTGATATGTTAGATAACATGGGGTTTAGCACAGTGCATTTTATTGACTGATAATAAAGCTTTTATCATTTAAGATATAACAGGGGACTGCAGGGCTTTGCCCTGATGATGAAATTTTGAGCAGTGATGACATAAGGTGCTTTACACACTGTCTTAGCATTTAGGCCTCGGTAATAGAACAGATATGTAGGCACTATTAAAATGCAGAACAAGAAAAGTATTGAAAAACTGGTATTTATATTTCTTTAGCAATACGTCTAGAATGTGTGTTACATTATTTAATCTGAGGTCATATTCAAAGAGCAGAGATGAGAAGTTGCTTTAGCTGATACAGAAATGAAAAGTAGTAAAGAATAGGTAAAATTTTATCCCTGTCCTTTTCCATATTTCCCTAAACTGTGGAAATGTAAGGAGTTAAGGTATTCTAAATAAGATAGCTAGGAGTGAAGATAGATGTGGAGGAAAACAAGAAAAGTGACATATTGAGCAAGCAGGCAGTGAAGAATGCATGTGCAGAGTCAGGAAAATGAGTAAAATTTATTGGGTCAGGAGTAAGTGAATAAAAAATTGAAACAGTGGCATTTCAGATAATGTAATGAAAGGAATACTAAGGCAGAAAGAAATTGCTGCATCATTATAATTTCAAGGAAGAATATGGAAATTAGAGTTATTTCCTATACTCTGAATAACCATCTGATTCTGGAAAAATAAGCTACAGAGAATGCACAGAAGGTACTGTGCTAGCAATCATAGCATTAATAGTGACTAGTAGAGAAAGCCAAATCCCAAACAGCGTGTAACTGCTTTTAGTTGGGTGCTGATCCATTCCTGATGGATAAGAAAGTCAACCTTGAATTAAACTTGTTAATACCTGAACAACAGCTATGGCAGTAACATCTAAGTGAATTAAACTGGAGGGAGCAAGTTCACTGTGAAAGAAAAGTCATGTCACATTATACCCTGGACTGTAGCAAGCATTTAGGTTTCTGTGGTTCCCTCAGCTTGAAGCTGGCTCATTGATTTTCATAAGAAAGCTGTCTGAGTGTGAATGAGGAACTTGGCTATTAGATAGTCAGACACAAAGTAAACAATTACCTAAATGGCTGTTGCTACCTGTAGCTTCACTATACAGGAGCTATACATACATTGAAGAAAATGTCTAGATTTTGCCCACTAGTTTACCATTTAATCATTTTTCCTCTGTATTATCTCCAGAAGCAATTTCCACTTACTCTTTTTGAAGTTTCATTTCCAAATTGCCCTCTTCCCTTTCAATCTATTACATGGTCATTGAATAAGTAGACAATTGCATTAGTGTTACCAGTAACCTTAAAATCAAGTCATTAATCAACTGCTAGATAAGCTGGCCTGTCACTACAGAGTGAAAGATGGTAGATTTCACCAGTGTTGAATCCAGTAAGTAACTCGACTTACAAAAACATATTTGCCAGAAAAACTTAGGAGTGTTAATTTGAAGATGGATAATGAAAATCTTTATTTTGAAAATTATTCAAATGGTTAAATCATATTTGTTTTTTTATAAATTGTACCTTAATTCTAAATTCAACTTGTTTAGCCTTGTTTTCTAATGTTCAGTTCTTCCAATGTTCATCACTGCTGTTGGCCATTAAAGCCCAGCATTCTTTGGTTGGGTTTGGTTTTTTGGTGGTTTTCTGTGGAGTTTTTTTTCATCTTTAGGTATACTTAAAGTGCAGCAAGTCAATTCTTGTTTGTATGAAAGACAGCTTCCTCTGTAAAGGTGTTTTGCAGGCTAGAATACTGGCAATGGGTTTGTCAACAGATTTTTTTTTTTTTAAACATGGCTGTTTAGCAGTGGGTGTAATTTATCTCTGTATGTAACATTGGAATATGCTTCTCCACAGTGCTGCTTGCTGTTCTCCTGCATGGCTACTCAAAGACTGCATTCACTCTTTTTGCCATATTGTCACAGGGGAACCTTGCATTAAACTGGTTCTTGGCTGGGACATGATATCTAGGATTTTTCCAGAACTGGTATTTTCCAGAATACAGTCTATCCTTTGGAAGAGACAGCCTACCTTTTGTTCTTCAAAAATACATTTTGTTCCAATTGGCTCAGCTTTCCAGCTTATGCAGATCACTCTGCATGACTACTTATCCCCACTAATTATGAGTTTGTTTCTCTGTAGCTATTTATTAGCAGCTTTACAGCTATATCTGGGTCATCAAGGGGTATGTTGGATCCTCCAGACTTCCAGGATCCTCAAGACATTGTTATTGCTGACTGATGGCTGCTTTTCATCATTTGTCATTATCAACTTATTTAACGTGTACCTTACAGATACGGTATTATGCTGTTCTTTAAAATTAGGTATATGATACATCAGAAAGGTATGCATTGCATGTGTAGGGACTGCAGTATTCTTATATTCAGCTAAATTTGTAAAAGATCCATGTGATAGGAGATAGTTCCCTTTTATTATTAGATGAGCCTTTCAGCATCCCAGAGAAACTGATAGAGTCCAGTTGCTCAAGTCCTTTTGCATCATTTGAAACAAATCTTTTTTTGGCCCTGCAAACACATTTAGCCACATCCTAAAAGGTTACCTTTGACTTTGTAGAGTTTAAGCTTTCATTTGGAGCAAATAAAGCAGGCATTTCACATTTCTGGGCAAGGGACAGCTCCTAAATTCCTTACAGGTCTCGCTTAATTGACGATTTACACTAGCACCTATTTATAGATTTAAAAATAAAAGTAATGTCTATATTTAGTAAGAGCTGTGACTTTTGAGAAGACATAGTGTATTCTTCAAACAGAAAGAGAACTTCCATTTCAATTCATGTTTACATGCTTGAATTGAGCTTAGTTGTGCCACATTGTATTATTCTTAGTAATTCTTTAGAAGAGTTTAAAATAATGCAGTAAATAAATAATGGTCTTTAATATGTTTTTGCAATAGATCTTCAAGACCGTGAGCCTTCAGTTATTTGAACAGGAAATATGCTGTCTCATAGTTTGTGTGATTCTCAGATACAGCTGAATCAAACTAAAAAGTGGGATACTATGTATGCTGTTCCATGAACCTAGGAATTGCATTGAGTTTTTTGCAGTCCTTAAACCACACTTCAAGCTGGTCCTTAACTGGACATGACTGGTGAGCCTTAGACTCCACCTTGATCACTGTGAGCAGCTTCCATGTGGCCAGTTCTGTGAAAAAAACTTACACAACAGTGCAGAATTATAAAAGGTAACATTCTAAGAACACATATAATGATGTTGACATTGTTTACATCGTGTAGAAAAGAACCATGCTCCAATTCCAACAGCTGCATTGCTCATTGTAACAGCTACAATTTTCTTAGATAATTTTGTCCTTCTTAAGCATGATGGGATCATTATGTATGTCTACTCTAAAGCTACTTGTAGTCTTTTTCTTGCCTTACATTAATGGGTGAGGCCATTATATGCGAAGCCATTATGTGACAAAATTCAGTATCATATTTTGCAGAGCTGGTGAATTAAGTCATATCACATGTCATTGTGTCTCATGAATCCATGTATGAAAGCTATCTCTAAGACAACATTACAAAAATTAAATTATAGAACCTGGTAAACCAAGCCTGGTATATTCCCATACTGATGATTATCCTAGTGTTTTCATTCTACCAGTTCAGTCTTACTTTTGTCTGACTTACTCATGATGCCACATGCTGAACGTAGTCATTACTGAACAAACTGAGAAGCTGTCTATATAAAATTGTGGTCGTTTTCCCCACCATTTAAAGGCAGAAGAGCTATTTTCTGGTCAAAACAAAGTAATTTCTGAGCCAAGCTTTACAAGACTCCCGACTGATTTAGCCAGTTATTCTCAAGCAGGTTTTATCACTGTGTCCACTTCTCATTCTGCACATTCTCGTTCCCTACTGTTTTCCCTTCCTGTCTCCCCATTAATGTGATGGGCCTTGCAGGACTACTGCTAAAGTACTGCTGTTTTCTACTTCTCCCTTCCTCCCCTTGCACCACTTCTGACATGACTTGCCTTGCTCCCACTTCACAGGCATTTGAGGCAAGATATTTTCAGATTTGTAAAATTCTAAGTCCTGTGGAAGACCAGAAATCAGCATGACACTAGGAATAATCAGTCTCTTAAAACAGTGAGGAAATGTTCAAATAGGAGTAGATTGTACTATTACTTACCAATGTCAGGGGTAATTCTTTAAAGGTCAGAAAAATTACATTTGAAATGGAATTGTTATATAGTTTGTTTT